TAGCTTTGATCTGCGAATAAAGTAAATCATGAAAATAATAAATATCATAATCAATAGGTAAATTAAATATGTTTTTGTTATCTAAATTGATATATTTAAATCATCATTAAACAATATTAAAGAAATTTATTCTTCTGATATTTCATTTTAAGCAAATAAATTAAATTCAATTTCTTTCTACTTTTACCCAGCCTCTAAAATTTCTATCTCATAACCAATCTATCCTATAAATATATCTTGTGATTATTTTATTGAATTAAAAAGATAGTGTGTAGTATTAAACTTTGATATTTCATAATTTTTCTCAGAAAAAGCAGCTATATGATTTATACTATTCTTTATTGTTAAATCAAACAAGTAATAATTTTAGTTGATCAATAGATAGATAAAATCTTCATCAAATTTTTAATGTTTTTCATATGTAGAATAATCGGGAGTTTTAAGAGTTCTACTTACAGAGTAAATGCATTCTTTCTATAAAATTTAGCATTCAACCAATCCAATAAAAATAGTTTTTTTGGAAAAAATTATTATTTTAGAGATTATTTATTGCTGCTCTATCTTAAAAGACTTATAAAATATTTAAGTATCAGAAAATAGAATTTAAGATTCTAATTCATATTATAATAATTCAAATTAGAATTTTTGTTAATCTAACTTATAACTACTATTAAAATGTAATTAATTCTAATCTAAATAATAGATGCTAATTAAGCAAAATTAAATATCTTGATAATTTTTCATTAACAAAAATTAATTCGGAGTATTATTTAAGATAAAGAAATCATCATATTAATCTTAAAATTCAAAGTGCAATTCTGTAACTTATTATTCATGTATTAAAAATAATCGTATTGACTATTGAATTCTTAGCATTATTAAATTACCCTCTTTCTTGCATTAGGATATCGGAAACTCCATACATTCATAATTTTGAATAGATTATTCTAAATACATTGAATTAAGTTGGTTAAATTCATAAAATTAAAATATACATAGATCTTAATGATGGATAATTATAATTAGTTGATCATTTTCTAATAGATACATTTAAGATATTGGTATAAAACGAAATAATAGATAATTATTATTAACTATTTTTAGTATTTTATATTCGTTTTCTAAGTATATTAAATATATATATAAAGTAGTATTTCCTTAATATTTAATAGTACGAATTTAGAAACATGATGTTTAATCTAAAGGATTATTGCATTTTTACAATTATTATCGATTTAAAAAAGGCCCATGTAATTCTAAATTAGAAGTATTTAATAATTTAAGTTTGTAAATTGGACCAGTAAAATACTCTTGAAAGCTTAATTAAATAGAAGATTGTTATTTACTATACAATATTTGTTAACTTGCAGATAATTTCTTTATTTTTTAACAATAGTTACTGAATTACAATGCGATATACTAATTTAATTGAGGAAAAGTTTATATTTAAGATTAAAATATTAAGCTTTCGTTAATTGTTAAAATATTTTAATATTAATCTATATCTTAAATATTCACTGTGAAATTGAGGTAATCAAATTAATAAATTTAAATTTTTTTCTCTTTATCATAGAAATATAGATACTAGGGTGTAGAAAAAAACTCTAATCTACCTATTTCAATAATTTTATCCAAATTATAGGTTAGCATTTCTTTTAAGTTAATTATAAAAAGAAAAAACTATCCAGATTAGTTTTTAGTTGCAATTATAATTCTTCCATAATTACATGAAACTGTTAACGGGATGTAAATTTAATAATGATATTCATTTAGATTTAGACATTCTTAAAATATTAAATTTTAATCTCTGTATTAATATTGGATTATCTTATTTTACAATTAATCTATTGCATAGAAAACTATCGAAGATTTTTCAAATTATGAATAAATTATTTAATGATCTTAAAATGAGAATACTGAATGAGTTTCTTAAAATATTATATAAAGGTGTTTTTCATATTGTATTACAAATTTTGAAGCTCTTTTTTTAAAATACAAAACTTAAGTTTCATTTAACTACTTTTCAAATTTCTCTAATAAGTATTATAATTATGACAAATTTAATAAAAATATATGATTACTATCTTCTGGTTGGAAAACAATCTAATCATCGAATTAATTTATTTATGAAATCTTTTCAGGTAATTTTATTATCTTATATGAGTTGAGAGATTATTAAAAATCAAAAATCTTAACTTCTTATAACTCTAAAAAAACTAATACTATAGTTCCTATGTAATAAAATACTTATGTTTATTCCTAATTTTAAACTAAACTCTATTATAATTGTTCGCCTCTACATGATTAAAATATATATTTTTGATCATTTTTCCAGACAACCTATTGAGAATGAAAACCTTTGTTATAATAAGTCAGGAAATAGGAAGAGTCTTTTAAATTATATCCTTTAATTTTAGGTTAACAAATTTATTCCAACTCTTTTCTATCACTTATAGCCTCTATTCTAGAATTAGGAGCCACTTTAACTATAATAGGTTCGTTTGATTGTATATGGAACTTTGAAAATTGTAAAGAAATGTAATTTTCACTAAAACAACTCAATCCATAATCCAACCTTTTTCCAATGATATATCCTTAAAATTAAGAATTATCTTATTCTACTATTTATAAACAACTAATAATATCATAATTTTCTTTAAATAGTAAGCTTTAAGCTTAAATTTATAATAAATATTTATAGTTATTATATTGAAAATATCCTAATTAATTTTGTAATTTAAAGAACTTAATAGAATTCTAGATATAATCATATCCATATAGTAAATTATTTATTTTATCATATTTTAAGGTTGATAATTTCAATTAATAATTCTATATTATCCTTTAATTAATCATCACAGAAACTATTGAGCTATATTAAAATATCAATAAATTCTTAAAATGATAAATATTTTAAGGAATCTAAGTTATACTTACATAAACTGAATTATTAAATACACTAATCTATTTACTAGTAGTTTCAGAAATGAATACTTAACTATAAATTGAACAAGTATTATCAAATATTAAAGTAAATATTTAATGTTGTTCTCCAAACAAAAATATAGACTATGTGGAAACTGATTCAATATTAATCACTAGATACTAATTTCGAAAGATTAAATATAAATTCTTTTAGCATAATTAAATATTTGTAAGCTTATCATTTTAAGTAAAATTATCATGATTAGTTAAATTATTAATATCGATGATATTTTGAATAGAAAATCCTTTATAAAAATTCACACTCCAATCCTTACATTTAGTATAACCAATTATAAATTAATCTTCTTAAATAGTTTTTAATATTTTTCTAGAGCATGAGTTAATATTTGTTTATTAAATGATATTATATGTATAGGAGGTGTCTAAATTCATTGAAATAATATATATATTTGAATTAGAAAAACAAAATATATTGATGACTTTTATTTCATTTATAAAAAGGTCTTCACAAATATAATTTTCATTAGAAGGGTATTTGATTTCGGTAATTACTTCAGTACCAAAAATAATTTGATTATCTACTAGATATTTATGCATTCTCTTTTTACAAGTAATATATTGAGCAGTAGTATTCTTATTCAGCCAACAAAATTGTTGAATTAAGTTTAAATTATTATCATCTTTTTTAAATATAAAGTTTGGCAATATGATAGCATTTTAATTAGGATAATGTTAGATGATTTAAGTTTCTATCAATATCTTATTTTAAAGCTGAAGCATTGAAAAATTTGAGTCTTTACTCTCTAAAAATATAGTATCGAATGATGTAAAGAAAAATTCATTTTTTCGAAGTTTTAATTCATAACAATTGCTAATATTTACTTATTTTGCTTAATGGTATGGTAATAAGAANTTATTTATTTTATCATATTTTAAGGTTGATAATTTCAATTAATAATTCTATATTATCCTTTAATTAATCATCACAGAAACTATTGAGCTATATTAAAATATCAATAAATTCTTAAAATGATAAATATTTTAAGGAATCTAAGTTATACTTACATAAACTGAATTATTAAATACACTAATCTATTTACTAGTAGTTTCAGAAATGAATACTTAACTATAAATTGAACAAGTATTATCAAATATTAAAGTAAATATTTAATGTTGTTCTCCAAACAAAAATATAGACTATGTGGAAACTGATTCAATATTAATCACTAGATACTAATTTCGAAAGATTAAATATAAATTCTTTTAGCATAATTAAATATTTGTAAGCTTATCATTTTAAGTAAAATTATCATGATTAGTTAAATTATTAATATCGATGATATTTTGAATAGAAAATCCTTTATAAAAATTCACACTCCAATCCTTACATTTAGTATAACCAATTATAAATTAATCTTCTTAAATAGTTTTTAATATTTTTCTAGAGCATGAGTTAATATTTGTTTATTAAATGATATTATATGTATAGGAGGTGTCTAAATTCATTGAAATAATATATATATTTGAATTAGAAAAACAAAATATATTGATGACTTTTATTTCATTTATAAAAAGGTCTTCACAAATATAATTTTCATTAGAAGGGTATTTGATTTCGGTAATTACTTCAGTACCAAAAATAATTTGATTATCTACTAGATATTTATGCATTCTCTTTTTACAAGTAATATATTGAGCAGTAGTATTCTTATTCAGCCAACAAAATTGTTGAATTAAGTTTAAATTATTATCATCTTTTTTAAATATAAAGTTTGGCAATATGATAGCATTTTAATTAGGATAATGTTAGATGATTTAAGTTTCTATCAATATCTTATTTTAAAGCTGAAGCATTGAAAAATTTGAGTCTTTACTCTCTAAAAATATAGTATCGAATGATGTAAAGAAAAATTCATTTTTTCGAAGTTTTAATTCATAACAATTGCTAATATTTACTTATTTTGCTTAATGGTATGGTAATAAGAAATGTATTAGAAAAACTATTAACATAAAAATATATATTTTTTATATATATATATTATAAAAAGGGACTCATATCAATTTTTGGCATGTGTATTTTACCAATAGGTTTTTGATTTTTCAATATCTGGTTTAATGGTAGCTTATCCTGGTTTCCATGAAGCTGGACATACTTCTCCATTTTTTTCAACAAATTGGAATGCTTATAATAATCTTAAATATTCATCTACATTTCTATAAATAGATATTTATTATACCTTCCAACTGGGGCATCATTAATAGAAGCATGACGTAAATTTTAATTACCATCAATTAAAAATGTTCCTCTTAATGAAAGTCCACTATCTGTTAGAACTCCATAATCTGAAGAGATTTGTTTGGTCAAATCAGATAACAAGAGGATATCCAATCCTCCTAATCCTCCATCTGCTTTAGGCTTCTTCACATATTCAGCATGAGAATAGACTGAATCAACTGAACATCCAAGGACTTCACAATTATGTTCTCTAAACTATTTAGCTAATTTAGAGAATTAGATAATTTCTGTGGGACAGACAAAAGTGAAATTCAATGGATAGAAGAAAAGTAATAAATACTTGCCTTTGAAGTCAGTCAATTATACTTATTCAATAGCATTTTTAATTGGATTCCTTAAGAATATATCTATAGAAAATACCATGCATTTGTTTTGAAGAATGGGGCAGCTTTTTATATGATTGCTTTTCCTGACATTTAATGATTTTGGAATAATTAATGATTAATATGAGATTATTCCTAAATAATTTATATATGCATGTGATATACTAAATACTATAAGTCTATAATAACTAAATTCATTTTAGATAAACATTAGTTTAAAACAAAAACTCAAAAGAAAGCAAATACCTTAGAATAGTAATACAATTATTTCAATTATTAATTAAATGTCAATAACACATGAATATTTAAGAAAGTATTCTTATAATCGATGGAAGAATTCATCAAGACCCATTTAAGAGATAACTTAATTAAGAAAAGAAAACAATCCATCTATTGTAGATATACATTATGAAACCCAAGAATAATTTCAAAAATTAAATCCAGAAATTCATGTCTCTTAAGAATATCCTAGTGAAAATCAATTGATTGTATCTAATTAGATTTAACAATCTAATTCATATGATCCTAATCATGCATTTACAAATACAGAAAATTAAAAAAAATCATAGAAACATAATATATTTCAACCACTTCCAAACAGTAACCTCTTTCATTAATCCCTTAAGATTCAAAATTTAAAAGGAAATAACTTTGTAATAAAAGAGCAATTCAATATCCGAATTGATCCTAAAAACTAAACTAAGTTTAATAAATCTATCTAATTAAATGAAGATTCTCTTAAATAATCAGTTCCTTAAATGCCATAAAATTAATATCTCTTTCTATAAACTAATTAAATCTCTTAATATATTGAATTATCTTAATAAGTTGAATAATAAAATGAATTGAAGGAAGTAAATTAAGAGTTATAAGAACAAGAATTATTTCTTGAATCTAAATAGGAATTTTAATTCAAATCTGATTTTCAATCATCTCATCCTAAATATGAAGCAGAAGAACAACATTTTCCTTAAGTAGTACAAATGGATGTTGATTTTAATAAAGATGAATATCTAAAAATAATTGATGATTACATTGAATTTATTAAAATTACTGAATACATTGATGTATAATTAATTGAATAAGAAATCTTAAAATAACAACACATTTCTTCATAAAAATAATTTATGTTTAGAATTGATCCCCTAATTACTAGTATGCTTTTTGAATAAATACCAAATAACCCTTATTAAAAAGAATCCAATTAACCTTATAAAAAGATGGATTATGTAGATTTTTATGATGCACTTAAAAATTATAAAAATCAATTAGAAAGAGATTTATATATTCCAGATTTAAGTGATTTTATGCATTATCAATTATCTTAGCAAACATTTAATTTCTTAGAAATAAAAAGATAATAGATTAAATGGAGTCCATCACTTTTTAAAGCATTATAAAGTAGTAGAAATGAATTAATTACATTATTCTCTATTTACAATCAAATAAAAGTGCCAGATATTGTATTGTTTGATTAAGATATTGATGCATTTAAAATTTAAATAAAGTAAATAGGTTCTAATTAAATAAATATATTTCAAAATTTGTTTAGAAAATATAAAGAAAAAACAATAAAAAAGTTGAAAGACTTAAAAGTAATCAATTAATAAATGAATAAAAATAAATCAATTTTAATTTAATCAAAATAAGAACATTAGTATTAGAATTAAGAATTTTAAAATCAATTAGATGAATTTAGAAATAAATTAAAAGAATATTCACATAAATCACCTATTGATTTTAAATAAGCAATGAGTTTAATCCAAAAATTCAATAAGTACTTCATTATTATATATTAGTATTTAATAATTTTTTATTTAGATAAAATAGGAAGAACATATTCTTCAGAAATAAGGAATATATTATATTCCAATAACCTTTAATTAAGAATAGGAAATGATGAAAATATTTGATTTGATGTATATAAATCTTAAACAAGAAATATTGAAAACTAAAACTTTATTAACATTACCAATAGGAGAATTTGCATGGGAACATCAATTATAATAAGAATAGGAAGCATTGAATAAAATAACAAGGAGACTTTGTCTTCTTAATTAATTTTATGAATAATCCATTTAGAAATACTAAACTGAATATTAATTTATTAGATAATTAAAAAAAGGATAACAAATTATGAATGATAATATAAATGTTTTAGTCTAATACTTAGATATTAAAAAGGTTATTTAGAATTAATAGATAAGTATATTCGCTTATCCAAAATTATAATTACAATAAATAACAATTTAAACATTAAATTATCATGATTTAATTTTTTAAACTAACAATAGAGTAATAGCTATTCAGTAATTAAATTAATATCAATTCATTGAAGAATTAAAGTAGATTTTATCTTAAAAAAATTATTCTTCAGTTGAAATCTCTTTATTGAAAATGAAAAATTAGTTAAATTCCCTTAAATTTTCTAAATTAATTTAAGATGAAATTAATTTATTACATACTTATATTACTTAAGCATTATGTTTTTTTCCTAAAAATGTAATTGATATCTTTGTTCAGACTAATACTTATGAAGAACTTGAATTATAACTGGGAAATATTGAGTAATTTGAAACTTTGGAAAATGCTAATTTGGAAAGTCAATCAAAAGAGTTATTTGAAATTTTTATGACATTTTTTGAGTCTAAAATATAAAACTAATTCGATGAAATATTCATTCAATTATATGATATGAGTAAAGAATAAAATAGTGATTGGAATCCAATAAAATTAGCTAAAAGAATAGATTTATTATATGAATATTAAAGGGAAGATATTGAAAGCAATTAATATGTAAAAAAAGAATTAATTGATTAAATTATTGATTATCCAGATTTAAGATATTTATTTTAAGAAGCAAGGTCACTTTTTAAATAAATAAGAGAAATACTTGAAAAGGAATAAGATATAGAAAAAACTAATTAAACTATTTTGAGTTTGATTTTAGATTTTGAAGCTCCAGAAGGAATAGATTAAAATTTGATTGATTTAAAACCTTTAGAAAGATTTCATAGAAATTTTAAGAAATTTGATAAATTTACACAATTAAAAAATGAAATTATAAATTTAGGATTAATATTACAATAAGAATATGGTTAATATTTATTATGCTGTCAAAGTAAAATCATTAAATTAGTTGATTGTATTGAATTAAAAATAAATACATTAGATAAAGAGATTTTAGATAATATTTAATTTAAACCTCTAAATTTTAATACTTCAGTACCAATCTATGAATTACATACATTATTAAATTATCGTTATTCTGATTTTTAATCTATTTAAATTTAAAAGTTTGAAAACAATTAACAAAGAAAAATTGTATTATTTTCATAAAAAACAAAATAAAATTTTGATGAAGATATTGATATAGTCTTAGAAGTAATTTATGATAAATCTAAGGTTCATAATATTGGAATATATGTTGATCAATAATTATGTTTTTCATGTTTATGATATTTAATTTAAATTATTATTATTTATTAAAATGAAAATTGAATTATCATGATTTTAATATATTGAAAATATGAAATAATTAATATTATATGTAATTTGAATCAAGATTTCTAAACAATACATTTTCTTTAGCAAGGTCTTTATTCAATCTACATACATGTTTCATGACAAACTTATTTATGTTAATCTGTATTTGCAGTCAATTTATATGAGTTAAGACATTTTGTAGTACAATTTATTAATTGATCTTGACAATCAGTCAAACAATCTGAAGAAACAATGATTATTATCCAACAAAGCAATATTATTTAATTCATTTTTAATTTAAATTAAATTTTTATGTTACTAATATAATTGATAATCTATTTGTATTCTTATAAATAGAATGTATAATTAAAGAAAAACAAGAGAAAATATATTATGTTATTTAAATGATATACGAATACAAATTAAATAACAATAGTGGTTTCATTTTTATTTCATACCTAATGATAATATTCTTTGTCTTGGATACTAAATAGAATTTATGTATAAAATATATACTTTTTTTTTATGATGAGATCCATAATTTAATTCTTTAAATTTGTATTATTCTGGAGCTGAAGCATTCAACAATTCTTTTTCTGCTTCAATTAAAACAGTATTCTTTTTAAAAATATTAGTTTTCTTTTCTCTTGATTTTTATCTAGAAGAGACTCGAGAAGTTTGTCTTGATTTTTGTTATTTCAATTTTTCATTATTTAAAATTGCTAAAAATTTATCAATATTATCTCTTGTTCTAGTAATTTCCTAAGTCAGATTAGTTCTTAATTAAGTAATATCTGATCTATATATAAATTTATTTTAATGATTTACAATCTTAAAGTATCAGTTACATTTAAGTCTTGAGTTGGATTTGTATAAAATTTTCTTTTGCTAATATCTTTTACTTTTTCCTAAAAATAGATATAAATTATTTACTAATCTCTTAAATTTGAGTTCTCTTTCTTAGAATCTTTTCATTTATAATAATTATGCATGATCCATTTTCTAAACATTTTTAGTTTCATTTTCTTCATCTTCATCTTCTATTTAATCTGATTTAATATTTCTATAACAATTATCCTCTAATGTAAGAAGATTAACGCATTATTTATGCTTTTAATAATTATTGATATTATCTGATTCTATCTTATTAATAATCTCTTCTCTCAATACACAATAATTCATATATTGTATCATTTAAGGAAAACTTAAAGGAACAAATGTTAATTGTTGTGTAGGATTTATTTGATTGATTTCGTAATCTTCTCTAATTTTTTTCATTAATTAAACAAACACTATAAAATGGAAAAATAATGATACTATTTAAAGCTTCTTGATTTTGAAGAGCTTGTTTAAAATCTGTCCAATTTAATTTATCTAAAAAAAAAGAATATTTATATTAATACCATCTTCATCTTCATCAATACTTTTAAAGAATTCTTTAAGTTTAGATTTGGTAATATTTATTCCATATTTAATAAACATATCATATAATTCAGATCTATCTAGAAATTCTAATAATATTTATGAGATAGTTTATACTTGATTTATCTCTGTCTATAGAGTTAAATACTGCTTTCATCATATTTTATTCTTTTAGTTCTGATTCATAGAGAATATATTAATCTTTTACTCTAGATTTGTAACGATTTCTTAACCATTTTATGGTGTCGAAAGTTTTGAGATTATAATTCATAAATTTTATTGTACGATTATAGATAATCAATATCATTTTTTTGCTTATTGTGCTGCCAAATCTTCGTCCATTTGTTTAAGTTAGGCACCACCTCTGAGAAGACCTGATCTTCTGGCAGCAACAAGACCAACTTTTTGACCAGGAGGGGCATATCTTGAAAGTGTAGATGGATGACCAATATGTTATTAATTACCACCACCATGAGGATGATCGACTGGATTCATGGCCACACCTCTAACTTTTGGCCAGCATTTTCTAAGTCTTCTATATTTATGGAATTGTCTTCCTGCTTTGAGAATTGGCTTTTCAGTTCTTCCTCCTCCAGCAATCAAACCTAAAATAAATTCAAATATAATACCTACTGTGGCTCTACAAAGAGCACTAAGTGTTTTTCTGGTACCTGATGGTAATCTAACTCTTGTGGTTGTTCCATCATCTGAATGACCAATAATAGTGGCATAACAACCAGTTGCTCTTCCCAATGCTCCTTTATCTCCTGGATGTTCCTCCAAGTTGCAAACTACTGTACCCTCTGGGATTTATCCAATAGGAAGAACATTTCCTGTTGCCAATTAAGCTAAGATTCACAATCTAAATCTTACCTTTTGCTCCGCAATAAATGTATTAGCCAGTGTATGATCCTTCAGGAGCAATGAAGAGCTTAGTGACTTTTGAATACTTATATGGGTCTTTGAATTCGACCTCAGCAAGTGGAGCTCCTCGTCCTGGATCGTGACGAATTGCAGTAATTACACCTCTGACATAGCCATGTCTTTCAGCATAATCAAGATGTCTGTATTAAGGAGATCCGATTCTTTAATTTTAATGTGCTTTGAAAACACTGTTTGATTTTCCCTTTCTTTATGCTCTGATTCTCTTACCCATTTTTTTAAAAGATTTTAAAATTTATTTTAAAGGGCAGTGATAAATTCTTTAATAAACATCATTAATTCTGGAATAGCTAATTTCTAATCTAAGTCGATGACAACACTCATAATCATGATAAGATTTGATACTTTTTTCAAAGTTACTTTATATATCACTAGTATTCTAATCCTCTATATTGAACGTTATTTTACTTAATGAATCAACTAAAAGATACCATTGTAAATGATACATCTAATTCGATATTGCTTTACTTAGAAGTTCTATTAGCCATGAATATCAGTTCTATTCTATTGTAATTTTACAATACAGTTGATTGAATTTTTGAATTCCAAACACTTATACTAAATTTTAATCTAATAGTCTTACATTTTTAATTTTTTCAGTTAAATTCTTTACTCTTTTATGTAGATGCAGATAATGAAATATAAAATGTAATTTTATATACTAGATTCTAAATCTTTGAGTTGAAGAATTGTTATTTGTTAATTTAATAGTGTTAGCAATTAATCAAACATAAATAGAATCTAAAATGTTATTGTTTGATATGTAAGATAATAAATTTAAAACCAAAAACTTGATGATGATTTTCTACACAAATATTACAGTTTACTATTCTAAGATATTTGATTTATTTAAGTATAATTAAGAGACTCTTCAATTATATTTATAGTCAAATGTCAAATTTTAATTATGAATTTGGTCAAAGTAATATGAATTGATTGAATATACATTATATTATTAAAAATGATCAAAATAATCAATAATTTTTTTCAAACTCATACAAAGCATCATCATGTAATTTAGACTAAAAATATTTAAGTATAATAATTTACATCTTATTCATGAATTTAAAATTGCCAAAAACGATTGTATTCATCATCTCTCTCTTCTTATGCATAATCATGTTTGTATAAAGGATTATGTTACTATTCAAATTACATTCCTTATTCTTTCCCTTGATCCTAATTTGATATCTCTCCAAATTATTAGAAATTCTATTATTACTATTATACTCCTTCTGATTAATTTTATTCTTAACTCCATTAAAAATTAGACCATTCTTATTATTGCCCATCAACAGGATTAGATTGCTCATTATTACCTATATTGAAAGCATCAAATATATTTTATATATTTTGAGTATTTGTTTCATTTTATATCTTCTAATCATGATTGGATTTCAAAAAATCATCATATTTTATTTAGATGTCTTCCTTATTAAAATCAACATCTTCTTTATAATCAGCTCTTGTATGACCACCTAATTCATGATTATTAAGTTTTTCAGCTTTATCAAAATATTATTCTCTGAATTTCTTCCAGGATTCATTCTCTAATTCTGATTACAACAATGGATATTTTGAAGTAAATTCCACTAAGAAATGAGCCAATTTAGTTACAAAACCTAAATACTCCTTTCTTTGTTTCTTATTATTGATAACTTCTGAAGTACATTTCAATAAAAATTGTATAAATTCATTTTAATTGAATAACTAAAATATTATAATTATATTTTACATTCTAAACCAAACTATCCAATTTTTATTCAATAATATGAACAATAAATCTATAATATTATAGATGTAATATATCATGCTTTTCATGTTTAACAAATAATGAATTATAAACTTTGAAGATATCTTATTCATGTAACTTTGTAACAAAAGATTCTTGATTCAAACTTATGCATACTCCAATTATTTCAAGAATTTTAATCTTATGTTATCCAAATATAGGAGTAGTTGATTTTTATAAGAAATCTAACCATTTATTTAAATGAGATTCTATTTTATTGAATAATTCCTATTAATTCACATTCAATATTGCACTTTCAGCTGGGTCTCCTTACCTTGTTGTTATTTTGTAAAGTAATGTGAGTAGATTATACAATGCTGTGCCTGAAGCAAGAGACACAGAGTTATTTTCATGGACAATAGATTAACAAAATTTATCTATTGATTCTCCATACAAGAAATCAAAGAGAGGTTATGCTTTGAAAATTACATAAGCTTTTTAAGTGATCTCTTGAATAATATGAGATACATTTGTTGAAACCTATATAAATATATTATGATCGTTTTTACTTCGAAATTTGTGGTATCTTCAATTCTCCCAACCACTCCTTTGATTAAATGAATCCTTTATGGTGTATAATCAATTTAAGTTTCTTGTTCAATTGTTAATAAACGAATTACAAATTCTGAAACTGAACGAGATTATAATTGCTTTATTAATCCATCAACTAAATTTTGATATTAATAAAATTCAGCTAAAAAGATATCAGTACGCATTTTCAATAAGTTAAATAATACATTGCAAACATATCCTGCCAATACTGGATTAACATCTTCATCTGAAATAAAAAATTAAAATAATGTATGCAATAGGGATCTATTTAAATATTTGAATTTTGATACTTATCTTCTCCAAAAAATTACTCTAAAATTTTAGGATTCTCACAACATACTAATAATTCACATGAATAAAATGGATATCTAAATGCTCTTTTTGAATTTGAATCATCCACTGGCATCTCTGTTAAATAACTGACTAATTCAGCCACTTATTTCTTTTGCATACTACATATTATTCAATATCTTACTAATCCATTAGTTTCTAATTTTGATTTCTGAATTCACCTATTATTAAATCATCATCTAACAAAGTTGTCAACTAAAGGTCTGGGTTTTCAAAATGACGATCGAATCCATTCTCCTTCATAAGCATACCAAATTGAGTCCAAAATTAAGCACTAGATATAAGTAAGTATATCCTTACCTGAAATTCATCGTGAGAATTAATTTTATTAATGGAATAATTATCAAATTACTTTTTGAATTAAACTCAAAACTAAACTAAAATCATTAAACTCTTAGTGAAGGTAAGAATACTACTTTAATATCTAATGATATTTGATAAGAATTGGAATCTTATTGTATTATAATATATTTCTATTAGGAATTCATATTTTATTAAATATACAAATCAATATAATAAAGTTTAAATATTAAATCAATATGTAGGAAATAAATGTGCATAGTCATTTAAAAAAACATTTCTTAAATGTTACCTTAAATAATTTATTTTTTAAGGTGTTGCAATACTATAATCAATCTAATCTACTGGAGTGTCTATATTTATATATTATAAAAGAACATTAAAAATGGAATATAAACCACAATCATACCCATTCTATTACTATGGAACTGGTAAAATTTTCATCTCTATTTACTTCTCTGATAATGGAAATATTTATATTACTTTCTCCAAAATCTTATAATCAAGAAAATAATTCATTGAATTTAACAAAAAGAGAGTGTTGTTTTAAAATACCAATGTTACAAAATGAGTTCTATCTATATTCATAATTAGTATAATTCTATTGTGTATATTTTAGAGAATAAGTTCCTAGATCTTTTCTGGTATAGAAATTTAAATACTTTAGTCACAGACCATACTTGAAAAAATATCTTAACACATTATAGTATTGATTAGAAGTATTGTTTTATCAGGATTTATTAATCGAAAATAATCTTAAATCAATTCTAAATAAAAGTCAATTATTGTTTAATTAATCCAATTATATCCATTTAAACCTATATATTAATAGTTATTTATTGAATAGTCTTTGTAATAAAATAAATATCTTGTAGTTTGTATTAAATTCTCTTCTTAAGGAGGATACTCAACTCTTACATTATTAAGATAATATGATTAAGGTTCTATAATTTCTCCATCTTCATTCAATTCAGTCAATATTCCATATAATAAATTGTTCTTATAGCTTCCTTTGATTTTACAATTTTCAAATTTTTATTCAAATGGTCCATGTCTCCATCCACAACGGTATTCCAATGTATAATCATTATTATTAATATTGCAAATACCATCTGCAAATCCTTCTTTAAATTAACCAAAAAATTTATAATCTTTATTAAAATTTATTTCTCCTTTTCCATTTGGTAACAATGTATTTTTATCAATACATCCTTTATAAATTGCTGGAAAATTATCTGGTTTATCTATAAAATCAAAAGGAATAGAAATATGGTATCTCTGATTTAAGTAAATTTAGCATTAATAACCTAAAAGAGGTTGGCTATCTTATATTGTTGGTAAAATTATTCTATAAAGTAATAAATATATAATCTACATATTTCCTCCTGGTCTTAATATTAAAGACTAGCCTATGTGCACCTTATATATTGTACTTTTATCATTTGTTTCATTTTTTTAATCATCTTAATTCTGCTACATATTCTAATTAATTTATATATATCATTTATAAAATAATGACTTAAAACGTATTGATTTTAAACTAAATACCAAATTTACAATTCACTTTTTTTTTCTCAAAGTAGGCACTCTTATAGTAGGAGCATTATCTTAATTTTGTAATTCAATTTATTATTGTAAATCTTATTTTTATTATTGTTATTATTGTTAGACTGGCTATTTTAATTAGATTGTTGTCTCTTATGATAAAGTTATAGCAGGAGGACAAGATCTTTTCCTTAGGAACTTCAGAACATTTTTGGATTATTTTTAAGTTTTCAATTAATATATTCTAATAAAACATTCCGAATTTTCAGGTTTAAATCCTATTCTTAAAATGTCATCAAAATAACCTTTTAGATACCAATTATCCATTTATATCGAACTGAAAGGACCTAAATTTAGGATAGATAATACCCTGAACTTTTAAGTAATCATCCACATAATACCATATTTTTGAAAGCAAATGATTAGCTTATCCAGGAATACTCCTACTAAATATTATTTCTTTTTTTATGCTTTGCAATTATTACTAACTCCAATCAAAAGTATTAGATTATTTTGGTTAAGGAGTAAGAATTTATTATTCATCAAATCGAAATAAATCTCCACCTCCACTTTAATATATGCCAGCTGTTTTGAGAGGAGTAACGCAATTACTTGAATAAACAAGAATTTCTAAATCTAAATTTGTAATCAAACCTTGATTAAAACCACGTATTGGACGAGCCTAATATGGATTTTAGCTTAGAGCTTTAAATGCCTATGGATACTATTGACATAATGCTTTGAATGTTTCAGGCATTTATTCAATAGGTTTTTGTCTATAATGGGCTATCAATTAGGCTCTCGAAAGTTTTTATTGCATAAAATATAAATAAAAATATGAGAATTAAAAATAAAAGAAGAAAGTTTTATAGAATATTTCTATTAAATTTGTTATTTACTTCAAGAATCCATGTCTATCATTCTTAAGACCCCTCTTATCTATTCATTGTCATCAATATTATCAACAGAGAAGGACTTTTTTCTCATTAAATCCTTCAATTCTTCAGAATCTTGAATTATTGAATGAATATATATACCTGTTCGCTCGAGAATGGAAATAAGAGCTGTTTAATAATGTTCACCCTTATTTTTACATTCAACAACAGTATCAGATTCAGGTTCATATTGGAAACTATTTTACAAATTATGACCAAGCCATTATTATTGATCACTATTATTATCTTAAGATTTCTAATATCTTTGTGATGTCTACAAACTTGGTTCTCTCACCTTAAAGACATTCTAAATAATCCTATTTCTAGGTACAATCTTAAATATTCTAGCTTAAGATGATTATTCAACATATCTAAATAATTACAAAATAATACCTTCTTTCTTATTGATAATGATAAAATGAGCAATCTTATTTATTACAATTTTAATTGATGCATTATTTAGTTCTAAATAGCATTGGATGATATTCTAATTCTTTCCATCCATGACATTTACAACAACTAAAAGCATCTGGACATCCATTACTATATTCTGTAATGTATTCATTAGTATTCCAATTAGAACATGATTATGGAATATAATTGTATCCTTATGGTTTTCTTCTAAAATCTTACCAATTGTGAGCATAAACACATAAAGATTTATCATGTTATGTAAGATTGAATGGACACCATACTGTTTTGTAATAAAATATGAAGAAATCATCATCATATTCTAAATTATGAATAAGTTCTATAGCTATATCACCTTCAGAATGAGCAAATGAACAGAATTTCCCATAATCACACTGTTAAATATTATTTGGATAAAAGGAGCAAAATTTAGTTTTGTAATTGTCAATTCTATATAGTTATTCCACTCTATTATGAGCTCTATTGCAATTGTCTCCATATGGACATATTGAATTATTTTCAATATATTGACATAACTCGGCTGAATACTCTACTCCAATCCTTAAAAACAATATTCAATAAGTAAATACCTTTTACGATCCTTTGGATTATGAAAGAAAGGACAATGTTTGTGATTGTGATTCCCCATTATCTTACATTACTAGACTTTAAAGAATCCCAAATCTAAATGTTCAACTCTTATTTATTATTGTAATTGTTAACTGAAACCTAAATTATTATGAGTCACATCTGTGGTTTCTATATATAATAGATTAAGAAATTACCTGTGTCATTTAACTTTGTATTTTTTTCTGTTTTTGATCCACAATTCATACTCAACATACCTTTTGGAATATATGGAGGAATGAAGTTCTATACTTATTATTTTTTATTTCCAAGACTTCGTCCATTTGAATTTTATTTTTAAAAACCATTCCTCATTTAATCACGAGGAATCTACATAAATTATTAAATTATGAACTTAAAAACTCTTAAGCATAATCAAAATATCACAAATTATTATATATATATAATTATTAATCAATTATCTCAATTTCTAATCCATTTCATATAAGAATTCTAAAAGAAATTGAAAGGTAATTTAATTAAATTAATAACTCAGTTTTAAGACTTTACTATAATATTTATGCTAATCAAGAAATCCAATATTATAAATTTAGATACTATTAAATTTTATGAGATCAAATGTTAGCGTCAATATGAATATAGTACAAATTTAATTTAAAACGAAAATGATGATAATTGTAAAGAAAAAGCTTCAAAAATTTAAATATTATGTAAAAGGTTTGAATACAATCAAATAGGAAATTACACTGTTATTAAAGACCTTGATCAAGCAGGAAGAATTGCAGGATTCATTATTCTAAAAGAATATAATTTTTTATTTAGTCATTATGAAATCAAATTTGTAAAAGATTGCCTATTTTCCAAAAATTCATAGTTATGTGTGATCATATCATCCAAATATATTTCAATCTATTAACTTGAAAATTTCAAGTTGATAGTTAATCAAAACATTGATTGGGGTTACTACTACAAATTTGGAGCAATTACACCAGATTCTAAGTATTTAATTGCAAATACTCAAGAAAATACAATCATTTTATATTGCTTATAAAAGTAAACATAAATTTTTACGATTTACTAATCTAAACCTAATTTTAGTTAGATTTTTGTTTCAAGAACAAATAATATAATGTTATCAATAAAATTTGGATCACAATAGGTAAGAAGATGGTAGATATAGGATGATAAAATAAAATATTAAACTTAATTTTACCTTAATCAGACCTATACTCTTAATTATGTTACAAAACATTTTATATTAGTTAGAAGACTATTTAAATCATTTGAGAGTAAGTATTGCATTTTTTCTAATCTAAATAAGTAAAGAAAACTTATTAGAACTATAAAATGCTCATTTTTTGAAAATTTATAAATGGATCCAAATTGTGAATCCAAGATTTTGATTAGTGATGGGAATAAATTATTATTTTTAACTTAATACAAATTTTATTGTATTTAAACAGGACGTTTTATATAGGCTTCAAATGAATATAGCAAATTAATTTCAAAACCAAATATTGAAATTTCTGATAATCAAATGAAAATTGAATATTATTAGAAAGAATCCTGAATAATATTATTTCTTTATTTAAATTGCTTATTAATTATTTATACATTTTAAATATCAAGTAATAATTATCAGAATTATTTATGAATCCAAACTAGTCTTCTTAAGGAATGTAACATACAGATTAGTTTAGACTTTGAAGTTGTATTCTTATAATAATATAAGAATATACTTTTTATTTGGCACTTTCAATCATTTACAATTTAACAGATAATGCTTTTGCTCTTCTAATTGGAAACCAGGAATAATCACTAGCCATTTATTTTGCTCTAATATAATTATCAACACCATTATTAAAATTTGATTGTTTCATTCTTAAATAGCACATATAGAATAAATAATTCCAAATATTGTGTTCAACTTTAATATGATGCCAAAATCCTGTATTTTGACTTGTTTTATCAAATACTAATCTATCAATTCCACAAATGAAACATTTATGATTTTAATCCTTCTCCTTTTATTTTTGAACTGATCTCAATTCTGAGTATGAAATAATAATGACAGCCAAAAGAACATTAATGATACATAGTTTTATGATTATATTTATGATATTATCATAAAAGAATCTTCCATAATAATTATTGAGATTATTCATATACATTTCCTCAGCCTATTCTCCTATATTTTCCATAAACCTACCTCCAACAGATCCATCTGTTTTAAATGTCCAATCAAAAGTTACATATACACATTACCATAAATGATTGCAAAGATTTTTATTCTTATCAGTAATAAAAAATTCAAAAAAATATACATAAGATATTAAGGCTACCCAATATTCAAATAATACAATTGTAAACCATAATCCAATAAATTTAAATTTAGCTAACCATACAGCTTTTAATATTGGTATTAATGGTTCCAAATATAGAATATGTATTAAATGAAATGCTAAAAAAAATGGATGAATTGTTATTCCAATTATATTAAAAGCTATCTAAAGAATATAGTATATGATGTCGAAATCAATGACTAAAACAATGATTGAGATAATCACCTTTATTAAACCAGAAATCATGTGTCCAATTAATGAAGAAGCTTGCCAAGCATTCCAAACAAATTACAATTTAACAGGGGCTTTGTCAATGAGATAAAAAAACAAAACCATGAAACTAAAAGTTATAAATATAAATATATTACTTTATAGCAAGATTTAAATATGCTAATATCATTAAATAATATTTAGTATTTGTGTTATTATAATCTTCTAAGAATCTTGGTTCATTTAATCTATAATATTAAATTACATCAGGATCTTTTGGTTTATATCCTGGTGGAAATGCTAATTAAGTATAACTTAAGATTATGATTAAATTTATAAAGAATCCATTATAGAAAGCAAGTTACATCCATAATTTACCTCTTCTAGCAAGAATCTCTAAGAATTTATGGTTTTTAAAGTAATCTCTTAAAGACTCTTAATGAAGCATAAATTTATAGGCTGAATCAACAAAGTTAACGAGACTGATTATTTTAGTTTTAGTACTTGTTCTATCTGCTTGATCTAAGAATTTTTTTTTAATTTCTTATCTTAATAAATAGAAACATGGCAATTTAGGAAAATATGTTAGGTAAAGTACATCATCTAATACAAATTCAACTTATAATGTATTTAATTTATAAAATTGAAATGCTTTGTGGATCATTTCATGCTTTTTGATTATATTCATCTTTTCTTCAACTTATCCACTAAATTATTATTTGATTTGATTTAATTATTCTAATCCATGTTTCATCAAAGATTACCCTAATCTTGAAAGTTCATTTAAAATATTATCTCTTAAAAAATCTTAGACTAATTATCCTTCATCTTCATTTTTTTTAAATTCTTCCAAATCTTCAACAACATAATTAAGTTCTGATAGGATGACATATAAAATATAAGCATTAAATCCACTTTCCATAATAAAATTAGGTTAATTTTCAAATATTAATTTAGAATAATTGTCATCACCAAAATAATTTATCATTTAATGATATACATTAACAAAATGTTATATTAAAACTGTTTTAGGTACTATTTTCTTTAATTTCTATACAATATAATCATCTTTAGTATTAATTTCAGCTACTACTAATAGTATAATTAAACATTAATGTTTTAATTAATTAATTTAAATATCATCTAATTATGATTTTAATGATGAGTCATTTAAAACTTTGATAGAGAATTCAACAAATTTAGAATTAGCTACTAATGTTTAATTTGGCCTACATGCATATGCTTAAGATTTTAATGTTTTTAAACATTAAATTAATTACTCATAATTATTTTTAATATCTAAAGAACATAAATAGTTAATAGTCTATTAAACAAGATCATATGACTTTTTATTATTCTTTTAATAACGAATCAAATTTTATAATTCTTTATTATTGTCATTACACATCAATTCCATTATTTCTAAAACTAAAGTACATATTTTTTAATCCTATTCTATTGTCAAAAGCATTTCCATTTTCTAAAAGAATTTATCACTTGAAATAGCAAGACTTAAAAAAGTTAAGGTTGTTTTCTAAACTTACTTACAAATCAAGAGTCCTTTAATTAAAATCAATAATTAAATTATGTAATCATTTTCACTTTCATTCTCTTCCCATATTAATGTTAAAATTACTTTTGTTCCTCCTAATTAATCAAGAATTTAAATTCTATTTCCATCAATTTTTATTATTTATATTAACAATTTTATTGCAAAAATAGCACTTTATTTAGATGCTTTATTTGATTTCCAAAATTATAAAAAAGCTAAAATCTTATGGAGTATATCATCATTTGTTAGAATTAATTCTCTTTTTTCTTTATCTTACCAAAAATCATTTGTAAACATATCACTTACATACCAAATTGATTATGCTAATTAATCAGTTTCAGTCCATTCCTTTATTTTCGAATTATTTTCAAATAATTTCTTAAAAAATTCCCATAATTCTAAATCATTACATCCTTAATCTGATCCATCACTTCCTTCTGTAATTTAATATTCTTCAAATTTTTCTGTTTTAAATGTCTCTCCATTTATATCACTCATCAATCCTTCTTAATCTGAATCTGATTCACTTTTTTCATCAGGAAGTTTCATATCAAAAGCTTTTACTAATCTATGTACTTAATATTTAGTTTAAGTATCACTATTTTTAGTTAATTAAGAATATTGTTTAAGAACACTCAAAGCATAACTTCTTATTTAAATTATATCTGTTTTGAATGAGTTTTTCTTATTTGCATATTCATTATATGTATTTATTAAAGGTAATAATGCTTCAACAATATAATTTTTAGCAGATACTTATAAATAATCTTATTATTCAAGCCATGATGCTTCAATACTGATAATTTGTAAAAAGTAATTTTCATGAATTAATAATAACTTTTTTTTTTTCTTTGATAAAGTAAATATTATTCTGCAAATAACAAATTTAATCTAATAAAATTTTATACATATTACTTTTGTTATACTATCCTATAATTCTAAATCCAAATTAGTATTTCTCATTTCCTATGTCTTTTCTAAAAAATATGATGTCAAATCAGTAAAATCTAGTACTTCAAGCATTTTAACTGATAAGGCTGCTCTATCATCATGAATTAAAACAACTTCAATTATTTTAAGGAAACTCTATCTAAATTCCTCAATATTTGGTTAATTTGGATAGAACTTCTAAAAATTAAAATTTTCTTAAAATGGCTGAATAATATAATTGAATTAGATATACATTGATGTCTTTTGATTCACATTAAATTAAAGCCTAATAAATATCTTTGTAGAGAGATTAACACTATTTATTTCTTACAATTGATGTAAAGAGTTCTATAAATGATTAATATTTTCCATAAAGTTTGACATATTCTAATAACTAATATAAATCATTTGAATTAACTAAAGGTAATAAATTTTGATTATTTGAAAATAATTCATTTATTAATTCTATTTAACCTAAATTTACCATATTATATCTTAATAATGGTCTTGCTAATTTAATAAGTACAAATCTATAATATATAATATAAAATTACTCTTAGTTTTATTAATCATTTCTGACTGATAATCCTATTAATCTAAGACATGCTTAAAAAATTGATAGAATTTTTTCAACCAATTCTTATTGATATTATTTTTATTCATCATAATCAATTAATTCAAAACTACATTCAAAGATATCCAAATTTACATCAATTACTGATAAACATTTAACTATTAATTAATGAACCACTTAATAACCACCACAATTTAAGAATATTTTTCTAACTGATTTCTCATTTGCTTCATTTTTAGATATTATTGTATATATTTCCACTAATTTCTCTAATACTTTTTCTATTGTTTCCTCATTCTTTTCATTCAATGCTATTGGAATATCTAAACGTAACCAAATTTAAGAATTCTATACATTGTTTTTTAACTTTTAAACCAATATATACATAGTTCTATAAATAATCTATAAATTATTGGTCATTATCATTTATATTTATTTTAAGTAATTACAAAATTCAGATCTTTAATTTTAAAATCTTTCAATTAATTCTACAATATGATTTTATAAGACATGATCATTTGCAAAGTAGAATCCTTTCAATAATACTTCTATAAATGGTCTATCAATAATTCTATCAAAATGTCTAATTCTATTAATTTATACATGATCCTTAATTCCTCTTTATTAAAACTTCTTTTAACCTGGTTTTAGAAGATCTTCTCTCAATAATCCTTATAATGAAGTCAAATATTTCTTTTTATAATATACTGTATGATTTTATAGATTAGATTTATTATCAGCAGAATCATGTAATTATTATTTTTCAGAATGTATGAATTTCTTAGAAACAGAAGGTAAGAATGTATTTGTGAAAAAAGCAATTGCATTATCAATCATAAAATCTAATCTCATATCCAAAAGATATTAAAATATTTTACATATCTCTATCTTTATTTCTATTTCATAATCTGAAGTATTAGTTTATGCACTAAATGTTTTATTATAAAATCTATTTAAAACTCGTTTAACATTTTGTAATTTTCTTAAGAGAGGATCTCGAATAGTTTCAATACTATTTTTATTGATTATTTTCTTTTCTCTTTTTCTAAAAAATTTTAATGATTAAATTTAAATAATTTTTGCCAATTTCTCATTTACATTCTTTTATTTCAATTTTGAATGTGCCTTCTAATAATCAAAATCATATTCAAGTAATAATGATAATTGTTATATTAATCTTTCTAATACAAATTCAATCTCTTTAGAATCATCTATTCTATATTTTGTCATTTCATCATTCTATTTAGAAAACCATCCAAATTGTAATAACATAAATAAAATTCTCATAATTTGTAAAGTAAGTAGATTATATACTTTTAATGGTTATTATTCATTAAGATTGTTAACCATTTACTTTAAATAAGAATTCAATATCTCTTTGAATTGTATTATTACATAGTATAAAGATTTAGTTTCTAATTCTACCTTATCAAAAATTCCATCTTCATCCTCATAAAACATATTATCAAAAAATGTTTAACTATTATTAATATTCACTCTAATAAGAGTTGGTTTTACTTGAGAAATTAAAGGATCCCTATCTAAGTAAATGTTTTTACAAAGAGCAATTAAATGTGCTCTTAATTCTGGATCAATTATATTATTATTTAATAAAGGAACAAGTGAATTATCACTAAATTGATCTCCAAAATATTTAATTGAATCATAATTTCTTTATAAACATAATTAAGAATATAAAAAGAATTGTGCCTTTAAGAAATTAAGTTCTTCTTAAAAATGAGGATTTGAATTTTTATGAGTATTTTCAAAATATGCTTCAAATCTAATTGAAACAGGTCCCATTTTACCATTACAAGTAACAATAATATTCTTTTCTTCATCTACTATACATTTCATTAATGTAATATTCTTCTTTTTATTAATTAATGTTTTAAAAATCATTTCTTAATTTGCAAATATTGCTTCTACTCCAAATGAACAACATGTAGCTAATAAATGTAAAATTTCTGTTTTTTGACTAAAAGGGATTTCAGTTTTAGCATTAGAATTTAAAGAGACTTTTTCTGTCAACCATTCAAGAATGAATATATTTTTATTAGGTTTTTTGGATGAAACTAATATTAATTAAATAAATATATATATTACTTTTTCTAATTTTAGAAAGATCTTCTAGAAAAAATCTATTTTTACAAACAAGATTAATTAAAATTGTTATAAATTCAGGATATAGTATTATATGTTTATGAAGTATAGGTAGAAATTAAAACAAACAATTCTAATTTTCAATATTGTCTTTACAAATCTATTAATATATATTAATAATTATATACAATGTTAATAGTTTCAATTAATTATACTTAGAGAATTTTAAGTTATAAAGTATAATAATACATAATTCTTCCTTCATCTCTATCAGCTCTACTTATTGTTTTTGTAATCTAATAGAATTTTTCTTCTTTTTCAAAATAATCTTTATCATTTTAAGAAATTTAATCAACCAATTCTGGTTTAAGCATTTAAAACAATAAACAAATAAGAGGGAATAATGGTTCTTATCTGAATGACTATAATAAATTAAATTTTAATAATTACATCTTATCTAATAAATGAGATTTGATTATATTTTTGATTAGGTGATAAATTAGAAATTAATTTATTCATTAAAAAATCACTAACATAAATTAATATTTGCTTAACTTTTTAATATATGAAATAAAATTAAATTTTTAATCTAATCTCACCTTCCTTATTTTTAATATCATATTCAGAACATTTTATTTCTTAATCATTAATATCTTATAATAATTCTATAGCTTCTATAAATATCTTAACAGAATATTAAAGTAATTTAGTTTCAGTATCTTCATATTCTCCTATCTTTCTTAATCTTAAGATATTTATATTTCTATTTTCTTATTTATTTTTTTAATCTTCCAAATAAATACCAGATTGATAATGTTATATTTTAAAATAAGAATCCTTTTTTAATACTTTTTAACCTTCATCAATAGGTATTAAAATAAATAATGAGTGTTTACTTAATTAATTTGTTAAAATAGGATCACCATTCAATAATTCTAAATATCTAGAAGATTGATTATGTTTAAATCTAACTAATTAATAAAATTAAATTTATCCTCCCTATCCATTTGTTTTTTCTATTTTCCAATATGAACTACTTTATAATTTCTAAATTCTCTTCATACCTATTCTTTCAATTACATCATCAAATGTTACTTTAAGATCTTCATAGATTATTTTAGTAAGAGTTAATGAAGTTAATTAATTTTATAATCTTTATATTTAGTATTCAGCTATTTCATGAAATGTATCATATGGTTATTTGGCATTTAAAAATAACTTAAATAATATTATAAATGGTGTACATTTGTTTCACTTAGATTTATTGCGATCAAATCTCCTGCATATAATAAATCCTCATTTTCCTATAAACTACTATATAAGTTCATTTTTAAATAAGTTGGATTATTTTATGTTGAGGATACTTAGTCTGCTTAATCTTTAGAAATTAATCTTAAATAACATTTTCTATTTTATATTGATTTTGCAGCACATAGAGTTACAGTCTCTTAATCTAAAATGCAAGAGATCTATTTCTGATATTAATAAACTGGTTGAAAATGTAATACTGTGTAGTCAGATGGAAATTCAACTAATTAAACTGATTCTTGATTAATCATAACAAATCGAAGAGAGTCTTTGTGAATCAAATGAAAAGTCGATGTTCCAAAAAGTAATGAAGTGTCCTGTAGTTTTTGGAAACATGAAATATTGGCCATCATCTCTTCATCAAGATTGTTTTCATAAGATTTTATAGTCTATTGTCTAGATTAAATTGTGGATTCTATCATGCTCAATTACACTACCCTTTTTATTGATTTCTTTGTCAATGTCATTTTTAACTAGCTCTACTAATTTACCAACCCAAAAATGATTGAGAACAGGTATTATCATAAAAATGCATTTATCAAAGTTTAGAATCTCATTTTGATGAGTGACCTTATGAACCAATAAATTATCATTAAGTTAATCAGTTGAAAGGTAGGACTCATTTTCACTGCATAAAGACAACGAAATCTGACATCCATATGTAATCTTTTTTAGCATTATTTATAATTATTGATGGATTAAAATTATTGTAATTAGAAATACTATCTATTGCTACAATCATCATGAAAAAGATCTCAAATTATTTTATGCAATTTAACTGCCAAAAAATGTTAGAGAATATGGTTAATCTGTTTTTTGGATTCAAAACTTAAATCAATTCGTTAATTACACTGATACTAAAATAAGAACTGTAATTCATTAGATAAAGTGAAATTCTAGATAAAACTTGTTTTTAATACTTGAAATATCAAGATGTTAAAAATTTAAATGAAATTTCTGAAAAGAATATTTATGCTTTATCTTTTATTCTATTTTTTATTCAATAAAAACATATAATAATTGATACATTTATCAAAAATAATAACTAGGAATACTTAAAAAACATCAGAAGAATAATTATTAAAGATTAAACTATAATTTAAGTGACTCTTCATATAATATAACAAATTCCTCTTTGATTATAATATTAATAAACTCTAATGATGTTCAAAAACATCGATTGACTAATTGAAATATCTAAATGTTTCTATAATCCTTAATTTTTTTTTGATTAGAATTGAATTTGTCAAATGAAAAAATACAGAACTCTTTTATTAACAAATAAATTTATTGTGCTATTGTGTTACTTTTATATAGATTGTTCTATATTTTTAAAGAGAAAACCACACTTCGAGTATTTATTGCATTAAATTACTATGTATACTAAAGACTTCTAAGATATTGACTCAAAACGTGTTAAGGAAAGACTTGTAGAAAGTGCCTATGATAAAGTTTAAATTTGGAGGAAAATTTTCGTTGAAGGTTTGATCAATGAAAAAGGAGAAAAGCAATATTATACTTTAAATGAGGCTGCTAATTTTGTTGGCATTCCTAAAAAGACTTTAGAAGATTATACTTAAATCTTTCATAAAGTTGGATTAATTGCATCTCTTTTTGATTTTTAAGGAAAGAAGATGGGATTTTTGAGGCACTTTATAAGAAAAAACAAATCGAAAATAAGAAAAGCTTTAATAGCTGAAAGATTAACATAATATGAAAGGAAACGTGAAAAATTACTTTAAAAAAAACAAGCATAGTGTTCAAACTTTCTTGAAGAATTTTCATCAACAAAAGATACAGAATCAATTTTTGAAAAGATTTCAGATAATAATATATATAATTTTGAGTCAGAGGAATTAGATGTTTACTAAGAAAGTCGTGTCTTTTTGCCATTATTAAAATTTTGATTTAGTTGTTAATTGTATATTTCTAAATGTAATTAAAGTAGCTTAATTTTTGTATTCCAAAGTAAGCCTTGAAGTAATGGTTTCTATTGTATATAAATCATTTGAATAATTCTTTCTGTTAATTTGCTTCATATAATTATAAAAATATAAACACAAACTATTGATATTTTTATATTAATAATAAACTTGAAGTAATTTTAATTTAAATAACTTAATGTAATTCTTAGACATCACAAATTTAGAAAAGAACCTTTAAAATTAAAAAGGCAAGAATGTTATTTAGGTTCCTAAGAGTCCAAAGAAAAAGAGTTAGTTAAATTACTTGGATATGAGTGATTTCAAGTTTGATTGGATTTGTTTAGATGAAGAAGAATTTGAAATTATGAACTAAGAAAATCCTAAAAGTTATAGCTTTACAATATAAGATTAATTTATATGGTTTTAAAATTAACATACACACTTTTCTTATCCATTAAAGGTTGAACATAAAAATGTAAAATTTTACTTAAAATTTAATAGTTTACTGAATCTTTAAAGAGACATAAAATAGATGAATATAAAAGACATAGCTTATTATGTTGGATGGGTTATGTAATGGGAGGTTATGAGAGTGCTTCAAATGAAACATATTTTTTGGCAATCTCAATTTTGGATAAATTCCTTTAATAGTATCCTTATGTTCTAACCAATTAAGAACTATTAGCTATTGGTGTTTGCTGTTTGGGTCTTGCCTCAAAACATAAAGATGTTTTTCCTTTAACTTCACAATAATTAATTTAATTAAGTAGTGATAAAATGGATGAAATTATATTGACAAAATGTTAATTTACAATTTTAGACACACTTCAATTTTAAGTTGAAATCCCTAATTACTTTTAGATATTTGATTATATAATGAGAGATTTAGAATACAGATATTATAAATATATATCATCAGACATAGTATAGAACTCATTAGTTAGTATGAAATTAAAGGTGATCTATAAGTGTAGTTTACATTTATTAAGATTTGTTTCTTAATATTATGATTCTACAATATTTTATTAAGGTGCTATATCCTATGGTTCTATATTTTATACAATAAAACGTATGGAATTATTGAAATTTGTTATTCCTACAGATTTGATTAAAGTACTTTAATAAATACAAACAGATTAAGAGATTAATAATACAGAAATTGTATTAAAATACATATATAGATTATGTTAAAATGGAATGTCTGAAAAACAATAAGAATTTTTTAGATAAACCCTTTTTCAGTATTGAATTTTAATTAATGTTATTGTCTTTAGAAATAGAATAAGTATCAATAATTACATTGTCTTCTTCTTACTTTCAGCAAGTAATCTAATTAAGAGATATTACGATATGGATTAGTGAGACTCGCAATTGAGTTTTTTTTCGATTCATTAAGTGGTTTTTGCAATTCCTTTACTTATTATCTAATTTAAGATTTTAATTAGTTATCTATTGATTTATTGTTATTGATTGTAAATTTTGACGGACTCAATTAAGGGAGAATAGATCGATTTACTGGAACATAAGTACGATTAAAATGTTTCTTCTTTAAAATCTTTGAAGATGTATTACTGGGTTATGTAGGTAATGTTTTTATAGGTAATTGTATTTCTGACACCACTTTGAGATTTTTAATTGGTATAAGTAATAATTTATCATTGATTGTTTATTGTCTTTTCATAAATACAGTATGTCTCATTTATGTTTTTGAATGTGTTTCTTTTCTTTATGGAACCTAAAAAGCTACTTATTTATGTTAATTAAGCATATCTTTTGATAATCGAGTATCACAAGAATTACAACGTTTTCTAAATAAGATTGTCTTAGAAGATAATTTATTTTTTATTAGAATCATTCTTCTTGCAATCTTTTATGCTTAAAGAAATTATTGTAATATTTACAAAATCGAAAAGCATCATCTGCAAAATCTCTTTTTTTCTTTAATTAATGTGCTTATTCTACTTAACGATGACAAGTTGCACCTTTATACATTAGATGTATTATTTTAGTATTATCATGTCCACAATCAGAACAACAACAACTTCTTCTTCTTATTTTTTATATGTTCCTACTCTACATTCTCTTTCCTTCCCTACTTCCAAAGCGTAAATGCTTAATCTTAGCATCTGACATTTTTGGTTTTATCAATTCAAAAGAGAGAGTTCTTTATGTCTTCTTTAAAGGATGAGCCCTAGTACTGTAGTTGGCAGTATTCTCAACTTTCCGATTGACAATAAAATTATATAAATTGGCTGAACTTTCCTCATAATCCATACTGGGTAACCCTTAAATGTCTTTCTCTAATTAGCATAGTTTCAACAATCTTACTTAATTCCTTCATCATTTTTTTAGCACTTTTAAACAAGATCTCTTGCTTTAGTATTCCTTCTAATTTTTTTTCAGGATGTGAATTAATTTTCATGACAGAAATAAACAAATAAGTAATATATGATAAAAATAATCCTTATATAACTTAGAACATATTAAATAAAGTCTAACTTATCTAAATCTATCTTAAATTTCTTAACATTCAAATAAACTATTTTTCTAATATTATTATATTAATAAAAAAATGAATCCACTTTCTCTTCTTCATCTAACAATATCTATACATATTTTAATAATTATACATAAGGGAACCATTAATAAATATGTTGTATAAAGTATATAATCTTATATATTTTATTTCTTTTTTTCTAATTGCTTAATTCCTTTAAGATAGTATAATAAGTTTTATAACATCAATAAAATAATTTTTAACAATCATAAATTTTAAATTAAATTGGATGTTTGAGGTATATAAATTATGGGTTTTCTACCTTTTTTTAAAGATCTTTTTTTACAACATTCATTCTTGATCTTTAAAAGTAATAATATGATATTATCTATGAATTCCACTTTTTACAATTTATAATCCATAAATAATTATATGTTATACAAATAAAGTTTTGATCATAAAATAACAGTCCTTTTTAAATTAATGAGTAGATTAATACCTTAATAGTCTAATCTTAATCTTTAATGATGTTAGATTTATGAATTAGATTATATGAGTTTGATATAAGTATATGTATATTTATTAAAAAATTCATTAATTGCAATAATAGTACTTAGTATCTTAATCGAAGCTGTTCCATTCATTGCAAATTTATTTCATAACTTCAGACAAAACAAATGGTTTTCTTGGAACTATATATTATTTTGATATAAATCTAAGTGCAAATCTCTCAAATCCATTTTATGGTTATTTTAAAATTTACCATGCTTCTTCTAAATCATAGTATTATAAGCATACCTTTAGATGTATTTAATTCAATCTTTGGATAACATGCCACTTTAAATTCAGTTTATAAGAAAGCTCTTTTAAAAAGAGATTGTTTTTAAACGTTGACGGACATAGATATATATGAATTTTTTAAATATAAAATTAATCATTTCCCTCCTTTAGAATTTAAATTTTATAATGTGGGATTTAATTTAATTGAAAATATATATATTTCTAATATATAATAAAGGTATAAAATTTAAATGAAATTAAAGGATTTAAAATAATAAAGTAAATATATAATTAATATATATAAATACTTCAAAAATATTAATTATTTATATCAATTAATTTTGTATTAGTTTGAAAAGTGTTCTTTTAAGGTTTTATATAGGATTCGTTTACTTTCTTAAAATTCAATTATTAATTGTTTATCAACTTCTAAAAATTGTTAATTTTCTTTATATTTTTCTTCATTTTAAAAGAATTTTATTGAAAAAGCTAAAAAAAGAATTGTATGATCTTCTAAATAATCGTACTCTGCTTCGAAATCAAAATATAGATACATTTCTTAGAACAGTTTCTTATATTAGATATAATATAATTAAGGAGAGTGTACATTTTCTTTGAATTTAAATTGATTTACCTCCATATATAATTAAGAATCAGTAATGTATTTTTGATACTCTTAAAATCTATTCATTTCTCGCTAAAAAATATTATTAGAATAATAATGATACCTTAAACTTTTATTTAATAATCTTATATTGTTATTTGATGTTAGACTTTAAACTAATTTAATTTTTTAAATAATTCCATATTTCTTCTTCTAATTGTTTCTTATCTACCCAACTTAATTCCTTTAATATTTATAGTTCATTAGCATTTACATATCTTTTGTATAGTAAATAATAAATGTTGTAGAAGCTTGAATATTAATACCCATATAAATATAATTTTAGTAAATTTAGAGACATTGTGTAAGGTGATTGTTAAATGCTTTGCTAATTTTTTTCTAAAATAATAGATGAATTTTCAATAGTATTGATTAATTTATCAACAAAAGTGCTCTTGGCTAAATAAAAATTTACCATCTTTTCTAAAACATTATCATATTATTTAACTGCACAAATTGAAGTCTTTTTTTATAATTTAAATTATCTTTATTAAGGAATGGTTTATTATTAATCTTAATGGTTCTTTAGAATTTAATCACTATGAAAAAATTAAACTTTAGAATTTTCATAACTTTCTTGATTTGCTTATTTAAGTTCACCAGTTTAATTAGCTTTCTTGAGTTTGTTGTTTGACATCATAAATTGAGTCTCTTTTGGTTATGATACATTATTATTGTTATCTAATGTAGTAGATTCTTAAGAATTTTAGTCATTTTAAAGTTTTTATTAAGAAGATACTAACAATGGTTATAATTAATATGTAGAAGAATTATGTTGAATAGTTTCTGTTTCATTAATTTCTGAGATATCAGGATCAAGGAATTATATAAAAAGATCATCCCAACTTATTCTAGTGGATTCTTCATACACTAATGAAGATTATAGAAAGTTTAATAATTATTATTATTCATATTAAGTTCCTCCTAATGCTTTAGGAATATTTTTTATTTAAATTTTATCATATTTTGATTTCTTTACAGCTTCAACAAATTACATGAGTGAGAAACAAGTAAAAGGCATTTATTAATAGACTAATTAATATATTATTACACCGAACTAAATTTAATATTTTTAATACACTATAGATATCGCATTTATTTGAATATATTCCTTCAATTAGAATTTATGGAGCAGCATAATATGGAGTTCCAGCATGAGATTATTCAATTTCTTGACATGGATCTTCTAATATTTTTGACATCCCATAATCAGCAAGCTAGAATTAAATTTAATTATACTTATAAATATCCATTATTTCCTAGCAATATATTTGCAGGTTTTATATCTCTATGAATAATACCCAAATCATAAAGATGTTTATAACCATTTATTAATTAATTAAGGATAGATAAAATCTCTTCAGTTGTGAAGCTTTTTTTCATTCTCCCCTTTTATTCAATAAGCTTCTAAAAATCGCCTTATAAACAATATTCCATAAATATATAACATCTATTCTATTATTCTTTTATATGAAGTATTTTCACAAGATTTTTACAATCAACTTTAGAAACTCTCTAAATTATTTCAATTTCTCTATTGTAATTAACAGAAGTCTTTTAAGTATATTATATAATCTATGATTTAAATTAGAATTACTTTAACACACATAGGGATTGAAAATTTTGGATTTGTACATCTATAACAAGTAGAAAATGCTCCTTGGCCAAATAAAGAAGAATAATTTATAGTAAAGCCATCTACAATGTTAGGAGAATAGTTTAACATCTATCTTAAAATTATATTATTATTAATAATTATTTAGAAAATAATTAGATTTAATTCTAAATTCCTTTCTAGATCTTCTTGTTGTAATTAGAAATAGATAAATCAAGTAATAAGGTATTATAACTAATGATTTAATATTTAAACATTTCAAAATAATATCATTGTAATAAATGATATTACTTATTAAACTATAGTATTATTAATTAAATATACTTGAAAGTATTTTATCATCATAGTATTCTTAAACTATGATGATTTATCTAAATATAATAATTTATTCATAAATTTTCTATTAGCTTTCAAATAGTTTCTAAATTAATTTAGAATAAACATTTTTATTACAAGGTACTATTTCTTTTAATTATAATTATTTTGAAGCATCATGAGTATAATAGAATAGAGTTTTTACTTTAAAATTGATTCTGATTATTAATTATATTTTTATTTGTGTTCGTATTGAAAATCAAAATAACTTATTGTATTTTATGAAATTCATCTAATTTTATTGTTGAAATTACATAGATTACTTTCTAGTCTGAAATTTAAATAATTTGACTCTAATTTTATAATAGATAATATATTATTATTTATATATATAAATTATTATGATTTTGATATAAATTTCTATTAAATAATATTTAGAATGATATCAAAGAGATTACTTTGAATGTATGTTTATGAAAATATTACATTTTTCATATAATTGTTTAAAATTTCAATCTAATTAATTATGATTATAACTTTATATTAAATGATAAGACATTTATATATATATAAAATTTTAATTCGATAAAAATTAATATAGTGTTAGTTGATCCATAAATATAAATAAAATTTTTGATTCTTAAGTGAATGATAATATATTTAGATTAATTCTTAATATGTATGTATGTTCTTAAGAATTGATTTATAAAATTAATTATATATTAGATCATATAAGTAGAATTTTTGATTATGTTTAAAAGATAATTATTATAATAATTTATATTAACAGAAAATTGTTCAGTTATATAACTAGTATTTCAATCGGAAACATTATCAATTTTCTTTTTCTTCTTAAATTAAACTGGTATTCTTTTCTTATTAGCACAATCTTTACATCTACAACTAGATGAGCATTTTTGATTTCTTATATAACATTCACAATAGTTTTTTTAACACTGGGATTTTTAACATTTACAACCCCAGACTTTAGATCGATCAAATAAATCATCATCATGTTTTTATCGTTAAGACTTTATTTTAATTTTTTCTAATGCTGTCTGTCTTATTGGGAAATGATCATCACAATTCTTGCAAGCAACGCATTTACAAAGTTTTGTACATTACTTATTTTAATGAAAACATTGACAATATAACTTAAGACAATTAGATTTAGTGCATTTACAAGGAGTTGTGTTAGTCTCAAGTTATTAAGAATAAAAATCTGATTCCTAATTAAGGTCTTGATTTGTATTAACTGTAGGTTTAAACTTTGATTTACGAATTCTTCTACTTCTTTGTTCTAGAGTTATAGTGCAAGGATCATCAGCTTTAGAGTGTTGATCTTAAATTTAAATGATTGGCAATTGTATGTTTTCATCTTTATTAACCTCTTATGCTTGGTTCTGATTCTGAACCTCCATATTTATGGGTGATTCTGGTTCCTCATAAGCTTTGTCAGACAAGTAACTCCTAAAATAGATGGTATATATACATTATATTTTTAAGTTTAGGTAAAGTAATTGGCAATTCTTCAATGTCATGATCTTACATGGTATCAAATTTGTTATGGTTCCAATAATCATATGTTATTGGGGATTAATCTTTTCTTTAATTGGTTTCATTCCAAAAATTTTAGTGCATGGTCTTTTACTTATAATTAATATTGTTCTAGCAAAGTACTCTATTGAATGAGTTATTTTACATGCAGTTTATTTATATATATTCTAGCAAATTGGTTTCATTTCATAACTTAATCAAATATAAAAAGCGTTTCTTCATGTTATTTCCAAAATTGGTATTACATATTTCTCATTTAACAAAGTGTTGAATAAATCAAATGATCTTAGATGAAGTAATATTAATTCTATATAAAGATATCTTTAGAGAAGATGAGAATCTTTCTTAAGAAAAATTAAAATAAATTTTATTTATATCTCAATACAATCTTGAATTTTAAGTATTATTATAAGTTAATAAATAAATATTCTTTTAGAATATTATTTTATTCTTTCATCTCTAGTTGACTCTAAACTATCATTCTCTAAATTACTTTATTAAGATTAATATTACATTAAAAATTAAAAATTCCATTTAACAAACAACATAAATAAAATTATCCTTAAATACGTTGAAATGAAATATTTATATTATTATTCTCAAGAATAATCTAATTTAATTTATATAAAGACAACTAAATGGGAAGTACATGCAATTCTAATTAAAATGATTCATTATCTGAAGATATTTCTTCTATTTAAATAAATACTAAAGAAAAAGGAATATAAAATATAAATTAAACAATCAAAGGCAATTTTCAGTAAGTTAAATTAATGAAGGAATACTTAGATGAAGGAATCTAAATCTCTAATATTCAAACTATAATAATACATCCAAGATGTGAATCTGAAGGAGTAAAAGTAATGACTGAATTGATGAAATTTGGTAATCAAATAACACTTATATCCAAAAAAATACCAGATAGCCCTATTTCAAGTGCAAAATCAATTTCAAAGAAAGGAATTTTAAAAAATAAATAAGAAATAAATATATCTAAATCAGTAAATGGAAGTTTGTTCTTTCCATCTCCATAAAGAATAAATAGAACAAAAAATAACAAAAGTTGAAATTAGGATAATTATATGATTCAAAGAAATTTTAATCATAATGTTAATAAATTATAATATTTATATTATGATTATTCATACTTTGGTTTCATAAACAAAAACTCTAAAAATTTTAGTTGGAATATTGAAATCTTTATTTAATTTTTCCTTGTTTACAATTTTTAATTGAGTTTTACTTAACAATGTTTCAAACTCTTTTTCATATGTTATTTATCCAAAATCAATAGTAGTGAAATACTTGATTTTTGGTTTTATATACTCAACCAATTAGAGGAATGTTGAATTTTTCTTACTATCAGGTTGTAGAGTCAATATGAAATAAATTGATCCTCCTTGATTAAGTAATGATTTTGCCAATTCAAGTGCTTCAATTCTTTTTGGCATAAGCATGAATGATGAGGAAAAGACAACAGCATCAAATTTTCCTTCTTTCTTTTCAGTCACTTCATAAAAATTTTGATATCTAATTTCTAATTTACGTCCACCTAGATTATAATTTCTGAAAATATTATTTGCCTTTAATACATAGGCTTAATCAATATCCACTCCTAAGACTTCACAATTAGAAGGTAATTAATTCCATATATGTTTTAATGGAGATCCTGTTCCTACACCAATATCTAGGATTCTTTTAGGATTTCTTTGATTCATATAAAAGACTAATCTTTCATAGCTATATTTTGTTAAGAAATTTGAGATTATCATATCATAGATTGTTGATGGAACAACATATAATGTATGTAGAATTTTAGTTAAGAGAGTCTGAATGAATGATGCCATTAAATAAAATATTAATTTATAAATTAATAATTAAAATATCCTTTTATATTAATTTCTAGATTAATCTATTTGATCATAATGATGATGTAGCAATAAGTAATTATTTTTTAGTGATATCAATTACATTAAAAAAAGTATAAATTTTATTAAATTAAAAAAAAAATGTCATTGTTATTCTTGTTCTAACTATTGTCATTATACAATTGCATTCATTTTTAATAGTCTTATCTCTACTTTAATGAGATTGATAAGTTATAGCAAATAAGTAATAATTTGTTAAGTGGTAAACCATGCAATTTAGAAGCTTTAAATGCTTGTGCTCTGAAATTATATATGCTCAATAATGATGATTATACAATTAGGAATCTAGGTTATTTTCATTTATTTGGTTTCCCAGAAGATCAAGGAAATGAATATTTAGATTTTTGTTAGGAATTTGGAGGATTTTCAGTTCCTCTTCTTAAATAGAATGAAAGTTTAGCTTACAATTATTTCTAATTAAGCAATAAATAAGAAACATAAGTTTATATAGCTTTTATAGATTGGATGAATTTTAAGAGAGGAGGATCTATACCTAGAAGTATTAGAAAATTAAAGAATCTAGAAAATACATTTGCAAAATTAGCTTACTTCAATTACTAATTTAATTGTCATCGATTTAGACATATACCTGAATTAGAAATTAGTTAAAGATTTGAAGAAATGTATAGTGAAGCAGATTGTTAATAATGTGATTAATTGATATTAATTGGATTTCAAATAGGTGAGACAGAAATATAGTATTATCATGATGTGATACCTAAGATAGAATTAACACTTGAAGATTATTTATTAATAGAATAATAAGCAATTAATGGAGATCCATAAGCATAACTCCAATATGCATATTAATTTTATGCTGGAAATGATTAATTGGGAATCAATAGAGATGTAGATAGAGCAATGTAAATATTTTCAAATATGACTGAGAGTGGAGAATCATTACATAATCAAGCTCTCTTACATGTAATGAAAGGTCAATATTAAGAAGCCTAAATATTATTATAACAAGCAATTGAAAAATTTTAGATGCCTGATTCTTATAATTTATTAGGTTATATGTACTTATAAGGTCTCGGTGTAGAATAAGATTTAAGAATGGCTTAGTCTCTCTTTTAATAAGCTATAGATAGAGGATTTGATGCAGCTACAGTCACTCTTGGAATAATGAAAATGAATTAAAATGTAACTGAAGGAGTTGAATTATTATTGAATTAAACTGAATATAATGCAAGATGGGCTTTAATTTAAGCTTATGTAAATTTTTAGAAAGTTTTGGATAATAAATTTGGATGTGAAAGATTCTTAAATATTACAAGAGAGTTTATTAAATAAATTATTTATCCAGTTATGGAAATTGAAAAACCTTTACCTAAAGATCCAAAATCTTAATATATAATGAAATAATTCAGAGCATTTCTAGGAATAATTGAACCAATAGATTTAGAGGAATAAGTTCTTTATAAAATTGAGGGGGCAGCCACAGCACTTGCTCATGATTTAACTGATTTGGAATTAAAGAAGAAATTCTATTAATCAGATCTCTAACCAGAAAGCTATATCTCACTCTCATAGATTGAATTTTATTAAGGAAATAATACATAAGCATATTATTGGATTGATCAATTAATAAGACAATGTATTGAAGGTAAGTATGAGTAGGATACATTGTTTGTTGCTTATATATGGAAAGCTTGGATAACCTTAGTGAATATATTTTATTGATTGCTTAGTTACATACATTCATATTATTATATTATAATTTATTAATTAGAATGGAATAAAAATCTACAAAACGAATGGTTTCAATGGATTCTAATTTTGAACATGCTGAATTCATATCAGCTAGAACAGATACTAAATAAAGATTAGGAGAATTATTTATTCAACATCCTACTAAATTGGAAAGTATTAATAATATAAATTATACATTAAGTGTTTGGTTTGAGATAAGTAAGTTCTAAAATACCTAAATTCAAACATCAAAAACCTTTATTTGAATTACCTATGAGTGATACTTAAAGGTCTTTAACTAATTAGACAACTTCTATTATTGATTGTAGTAAATGTAGTTAAAGTCTTTCAAAAATGATCAATAATAAATATCATCATGAATAATTGATTCTCTCTTAACCTACTTTAGTAGCTGAAGAGAAAAAAGAATTATAAGTGTAACCTCCAAAAAGATTAGTTAGTCATCATGGCAGATAAAAGAATGAATTACCTCCTATATTAGCTCATCCTCATATTTCACCACCTCCTTACTTTCCATAATCTCCAAAAACATAAAGAAAATAAAAAACTCTTGGAAAATTATCATTTGGAAGAATCTCTAAAAAAATTGATCATGATCTTATTTAAGGTATTTAATAAGAACTTCAAAAATAATTAAATCATACTCTTTAAAAAGATTATCCAATTGCTAAAATGCTTTAAAAACATGTATTTATATTTATAATTAAGTAAAACTTAAAAAGATCCAAATTAATCTCTCTTAGCCAAGCAATTAAGGATTTTAAAAAATCAGTATCGACTGAAGATAAGTCAAATACTTTTGAACTATTTAAATTAAAAGAGAAGGAATTAAATTAATTAATATCTGGGCATAATTATGAAATTTATTAAACTATTGATGATATAATATGATTAATAATATTTTTAATTAATTAAATATTTACTTACGGATTATTGAAGCTTATTTATAAAAATTTTAAGTCATCTTGAATTTGTTTTATATAATGTACAACAAAGCTCTTGTTTTGAAATAAAGACCGGATGAAACATTCCCATAAAATATGGACTTTTTTGAAGTTCGAGAAGTCCCTGTACCTGAACTTAATGATGGAGAAATCTTAATAAGAGTACTCTTTAAATTCAAAAAAAGGTCTTGTATATAGGAGTTGATCCAGTTATGAGAGTTTGGCTTTCTGGAGCTAAAACCTATATTGATGCTGTATAAATAGGATAAGTCATGCCTGCTTTTGGAGTTGGAATAATTGTAGAGACTAAATAACCAAAATGGGATGTAGGTAAAAGAGAATTTCTAAATTTTAGGATAAATAGTATTTGGAGTCTTGGAATGTGCAAACCTCTGTAAAAGACCAACCAAACCATTATTTAAAGTTCCACTCTTTGAATTAGGTGATCCAAACATACCACTCTTGTTATCTATTTATGGAGTCACAGGACTTACAGCTTTGAATGGAATGAAACTCATTCCATAAGATCATATACCTACTTCTGAGAGATAGAAAACATTTTGTGTATCGAGTGCAGCTGGATCAACAGGATCTATAGCTCTCTAGATTGCAAAACATATGGGATTTAAGACAATCGGTATTGTGAGTGGGAGAGAGAAGAAAGATTTTGTTTTGAGTTTGGGAGCAGATGAATGCATTACTTATAATGATTGTAAAGAAAATGATGAGATAATTGTTGAGTATGGAATATGATTAAATTTAAGCAAATTAACTTAAGAAATAAAAAGAGTAGCTCCAAATGGCATAGATGTATATTTTGATAATGCAGGAGAAGAAGTACTTGATGCTGTATTACCAGGAATGGCAAAAGAGGGATTAATTTTATTATGTGGAGCTACATCTACATACAATGCTTGGAAGAATAGAGGAGGATTGACCAATTTGGCATCTGCTATCACATAATAAGTTAAATTAGAAGGTATAATTGAATATTAGTATGTTTAGGCATCATATTTTATTAGGATTAAGCTAAAATTTATAGTGGATTTTCAGATATGATTGAATTAGTCAATGATGGAATTATCAAACATTAAGAGGAAATATATTATGGAGTAGAGAATTTTGTTCAAGGTTTAAAGAGAGTCTTTCTTGGATAGAATATGGGTAAAATCATTATTTAAATTGAACAATAAGTTGAGCATTAAGCCAAATTATGATTATATTAAAATAGTGTTTAATAATATTATTATAAAAATAATTTATAATAATTATTTTGTTGGAATGTCATAATACCATTATTTTCATTATTCCCATATCTCTTAATATTCTTTCAATTTCAATATTCATTTATGGTGGACCACAAATTAAATAATTTGTTGAATTATGCTAATCAGGTATGTGTTCAATAAATGTCTATTGTGTAAATCTAGTTCCAATAATTGGACATTCTTTTAATTTAAAATTGCCTTTAATAATTAACTTAAAATTAGGAGTGTCTAAATATTACTGTAATGAAAGCAAAGCAAAATAAATATCTCTTCCAATCTATATTATATATATATATATATTTATTTACCAAATCATCAATTGAATTGACTGCTAAAAACATTGTTATTGTAAATTTCTTAATCTCATTAATATTTAAATCTATTAAATCAGATGCCTCTAAACCAAGTTTCATTTGAACAATCTACCTATAAGACACTCTCAATTAATAATCTAAAATATCTAAAAATGGAAATAATCCTGTTCCTCCAGCAATAAATATTAAATGTGAATCATTTTCAATTTAAATAGAATTTCCATAAGGACCTTCAATAATATATTATCCTTATCTATTATCTTCATGAATGAAATTAGAAAAACCTTATTTTGTTTCATATTTCTTAATTATTAAAGGTAATTCATCTTCAAACTCTTCCAATTTAGGTATATCTTTGTGAATTGGTTATAAATTGAGTATCTTTTTAAATAATTCAAGGATATCTTTTCTATATTTCACTCTTTTATTTGTCATACTTAAAACCATAGTATATTATCTTTAATGAATATCATCATTATCATCTGACTTTATAATGAAATAAGACCCAAAAGTATCTAATCCATTAATAGTATTTCTAAGATGAAATTAAGTATTTGTAAATTCAAATTTAGCAATATTAGAAGTATAGGGATTGATTCTAGTTAAAATCCAAATAGCTTTTAATTTCTTTATTGGTCTTTGAGTACTTTTATTGTAGAACAATTCTAAATCCTTATTGACATAAACACCAGTTTTATATTTTTATAAAGCCTTTAATGCATAATTACTATGACGATAAGGTTTTATAGTTAATTAAGGTACAGCATAAGCTCCAAGTATATACTAAGTAATATCTTAACCTTAAAGTAATTTCCAAATATAATTGCCACCAGGATGATTCATTTATGATAAATCAATAATTTGATTATGATAAATACACCATAATTAATTTATTTTATTCTCTTCACATTCACTATAATTTATTTTTTAAAGCAAAGTTTCTTAATCAGGAAGAACTTTATATTTTTTGAAGTAAGAACTACTAGAATTATTATTTGTCATAACCATTAATGATCCTCTTTAATAGAGTACTTCCAATATGAAACGAATAGTTAATACTGCTCCTAGAATTAAAATAAATCTAATATCATTATCCATGAATAATCCAGCAATTATTTAGATCTTACCAAATACATAGACAAGAGTTCCAAAAATTGCATGATAAGATGGTTTCACAGATACCTTTTAATTCTTCTTATAAGAAATAAGCATTATATTATACATTATACCACCTATACATTGAAATATCATGCAAATAGCTAAGATCATAAATAATACTATATGGAATTTATTCTTTACTGACTCCTCTTTATAATGTTTCCATTCCAATATCTCCCAATTAGTATTCAACATAAAGATTGCTGTTGTTAAGGAACTTGATATTATTAAAATAAATAGAATTCCATGCATATATGTTCTATATCCCCAAGTCTTAAAATATCTTCCAATTATTATTGCTAAATCACTTGCCATACCCCAACAAATAAAGTTAGTCCATTTATGTAATAGATAATATTTATTTTCATCTTCTATTTCAACATCTATGTCTCCTCCTTTATCAATCATATCAATTTTCACCCATCCATTATTACCCTTACCATGATTTGAAACCATCAAACTCTAATCATTTTTACCATGTGCCCATATAAAATCAACACCTTTTTCTTAGATTAAATCCTTATCATATTTGTCCCCTACATTATAGATTATTTAATAATACCTGTAATTGATTTCCTTTTAAATTTCACTCCACTTTTACCATTCTAATTATAATAATAACCCAAAATTTCTATATCATTTGTACCACCTTATGAAACATCTGTTGGTGGAACCTAATGTTTTGTAGAATGTGAATCAGTTCCAATAATTGCATTTTAATCTATCTCAAATACCCAAAGATCTGCATCACTCATAGATTATCCTAACCCTAATGAAAAGTAACTAATCTTATCGATCTCAATCATCATTGTTACTTCTTTTTAGTCTTAATTGAACTCAAAATAGAAATCAATAATTGTGTCTACAATCACCATTATATATACTAGATTCTGAGATTTTTGCATGAGTTCTTGGCTTACTAATATCATTACTAGGATCATGATAATAAAATATCTTAGAACCTAGTATAATATCTAATATTATTCCAAAAAGTAAAATTCTTAACATTCTTAACACTTATAAATAATTAATTTATTTAATGTGATGTAACAACACTAAATTTATATGATTACATTTATTAAACTATAGAACAATCTAAATATTATAGAATTAATGAATTCATTAAAATTAGCAATATAAAAATAAAATATTATTTGTTTTTTATTCATTATAATATTTATTTTGAGATGTTTCTTCACTATTTAATAGGAAATATCATATTATTATAGATTACAATATCCTCCATTCATAATTATTATAAATGGATACATTAATCAAAAAAATTAATTATAAAAATTTAGAATAAAAATTATTATAATATGTAATTTTTAGTAGAGGATTCAAATTTATTAAGTATCATTATACTTTATAATTGCCCTTTGATACTTGAGTTTTTATAAAGTTTAAATTTATTTTATATATCTGTACGACATGACAGATTACTTGAAAGCTGTAATTGAAACACAACTTATAGGAGCATTTAGAGTGGCAATAATAATGCCTTTAGAACATGTTCTAGATAGAATCAAGACATATAAACAGTCAAGATTAGGAATCTCCTATATATAAGTATATATATTATTTTTGTATTTTAAGAGTTTTAAAGAAATAAAGGGAGCTCGCGGTTACCTAGGATTATATGATGGTTTCTATCCTAGCTTTCTTAGAAACATGTTTAAATAGTACTATCGTTGGCCTATGATGATCTTTATCCCATCATTTCTTAAAGAACATATTCATAATTCTTCTCTAAATAAGATTCTTACTGGGATATCAATTGGATTATTTGAAAGTTGTCTAATAACACCATTTGAGAGATTAAAAACACTAAAAATGACTACAATGTCTACAGGATTTGGATATTTGAAATACATAACTCTAGATTCCATTTATGTAGGATTTCGCATCCAAACTACACGATAGATAGTATCATGGACAAATTATTTATATTGGGATCATAAACTTAGATATGCACTGAAAGTTGATCCATCTTAGAAATTAGGCATAGTAAATGTATTGATTGCTTCATTTATCTCAAGTGTTTTGAATATAATGGCAGGTTTATATAAAATTTATTTATAGTTCATCCAATTGATACATTAAAGACATTGGTGTAAATGGAATCTAATTAAGCATATAGAAAGATTCCCTTAATATAGGCGTTTAAGTTATTATTTCAATAACATGGTCTATCTGGTTTATATGCTGGTTGGCAGGCAAGAATAATAGCCTATTTTTGTTAGGCAGCCTTGACAACTCCTACAATAGACTATTTGGAAAGGAATTATGGAATAGCTAAAAGAAATGATAAATGATTTATATCTAATTTATTATCTCATTATAATCTAATAAAATATGAAANATTATACTTTATAATTGCCCTTTGATACTTGAGTTTTTATAAAGTTTAAATTTATTTTATATATCTGTACGACATGACAGATTACTTGAAAGCTGTAATTGAAACACAACTTATAGGAGCATTTAGAGTGGCAATAATAATGCCTTTAGAACATGTTCTAGATAGAATCAAGACATATAAACAGTCAAGATTAGGAATCTCCTATATATAAGTATATATATTATTTTTGTATTTTAAGAGTTTTAAAGAAATAAAGGGAGCTCGCGGTTACCTAGGATTATATGATGGTTTCTATCCTAGCTTTCTTAGAAACATGTTTAAATAGTACTATCGTTGGCCTATGATGATCTTTATCCCATCATTTCTTAAAGAACATATTCATAATTCTTCTCTAAATAAGATTCTTACTGGGATATCAATTGGATTATTTGAAAGTTGTCTAATAACACCATTTGAGAGATTAAAAACACTAAAAATGACTACAATGTCTACAGGATTTGGATATTTGAAATACATAACTCTAGATTCCATTTATGTAGGATTTCGCATCCAAACTACACGATAGATAGTATCATGGACAAATTATTTATATTGGGATCATAAACTTAGATATGCACTGAAAGTTGATCCATCTTAGAAATTAGGCATAGTAAATGTATTGATTGCTTCATTTATCTCAAGTGTTTTGAATATAATGGCAGGTTTATATAAAATTTATTTATAGTTCATCCAATTGATACATTAAAGACATTGGTGTAAATGGAATCTAATTAAGCATATAGAAAGATTCCCTTAATATAGGCGTTTAAGTTATTATTTCAATAACATGGTCTATCTGGTTTATATGCTGGTTGGCAGGCAAGAATAATAGCCTATTTTTGTTAGGCAGCCTTGACAACTCCTACAATAGACTATTTGGAAAGGAATTATGGAATAGCTAAAAGAAATGATAAATGATTTATATCTAATTTATTATCTCATTATAATCTAATAAAATATGAAAACATGTATATTAAAGTCTATATTTTTCATATCTTCCTTTCTTCTAATCTTCATATTTCAAAAGAATATTTATCATAAATCTGCAAAATCAATTTGTAACTTTTTCAATTCAAATAGTTTTATCATCTTTTTAATTTCCTATGATTATGCTTCTAAATTATTTTAGTAAAAGTAATTTTATACAAATATAAATTGAAATTTTCACATACCCTTCTATAATGCTTTAACATTTTAAAATAATAACAATCTATAATATTTTGTTAATTAATATGATTAATGAAGTTACTCAATTATTAGATTGGCAATACTATTTACAATCCTAAAATACTAAAACATCTTTCTGAATCTATAGAATATTCATTTCCTTTAGCCTCATTCGTGAATAAAAAGTTATTGCCTTATTTCTGTGATTATAAAATAGCTAAATGAAATTAGGACTCTCATAAATATATCCTTGAAATCACCTAATTTCTATTATAACAAAGTTATGCAGTAAATTAAAAAGTCTAGAGTTCTTAAAAAGAGAGAATTGCAAATCCTATAAAAATTTAAAGATTATTCCATCATAATTCAATTTAAGTTTGAGTGATAATAAATCCAATAAAAAGATCAACACTACATCATGTACTAAATAAAAACTTAAGAAAACTTGCTCCTTTAATTTTAGAGAATCTAAATAAATACAAATTAAAATTATCATAATCAAAATCAAAATCTCTTAAAAGTTACCTTTCACTTAACTTTAAAAATTGTTTTATATCCATAATGACTATTTTATTATAATTCTTTTTCATCATTTATGAAATATATATATATATATATATTGTACTATATGTATGTATATATAATTTGAATCAGAATAAAACAAATTGTTTTCTAACATTACCAATGATTTCATTTGGAATTACCTTCAATACATTGAATCTGACTGTCTTTGATAATGGTCTTTAATTAATTATTTAAATTCTTACCTGCATTATCCGCAAACTACAATATCACCTTCCTTAACTGGTCCAAATGCTGGTGAAATGTGAACTGGAACATTTCTGTGTCTCTTTTCATATCTATTATATTTGGCAACATAGTGTAAATAATCCCTTCTAATAATAATTGTTCTGGTCATCTTAGTTGATATTACTATGCCTCTATTCATTATTGACTTTTCATTTACTTTAAGATGGCTCCTCTGACACTCACATTTCCTGTGAATGGACATTTCTTATCAATGTAATGACCTTCAATTGCTTCTTTTGGTACTTTGAAACCAAGACCTACTTCTTTCCAATATCTAACTCCCTTAGATGTTTTCTTTGCCAACAATTTCTTTGAGTTTTAGAAAATGCCCTCTTATTTTTGGAATGCTCTTTGTGTTTGAAGGTCTGCCATAATATAATTTTTTTAAAAAAAAGATATAAAAATTTAATACTTTAATGATCAAATTAGAATAGAAAATAGAAACTAAAGCTTTATTACCTCGTATCAAATAAAAATCCATTAATGACAATACTATGTATACAATCTAGTTACTACGTAAAACCATCCATCAAATGACTAATAATTATTCTGAACCTTAACCTAGATAAATGGCATCCAAAATGTTACCTGCTCAAAAAATAAGGAGATTAAATTATTCATACACTAAAGACTATTCTCATAACCATCAAAGTTAATCAATTGAACTACATTAAAAAGCATCTACATAAACTATTACTAACTTCTATATTGATTATAAAAAGAGTTGTCCAGATAACTTTAAAATGAAAGTCACAAAATCTCCTAATATACCTATCAATTCAATCCAAATTTTTTAGCAATCTAAAAATAGGTTTTAAACCATGGATATAAATGACAGGTTCAAAAACCTAAAAAATAGAGCATTGTCATAAAAATATGGAAAAAGAACTAGATCTGTCTCTCAATAAAAATGATTATGTAATATAAATACTATTTAACTTTTTATTCTAGTTCATTTTGATAAAAAAGAAATAACATATTCAAAGAATATTCATTTTAATTCTTATTTATTTCTCTAACAAATATTATTATTAGAAAATTATCTATATTATTAAGTTTCTTAATTCTATTTTTTTAAATTACAATTAACAAATAATATAAATTATCTAATGAAAATATTCTGCAATCAAATGAATTAATTATTTAAATATATTATCCATTTTATTTATTATTAATAAAAAGCTATTAATCTAAATATTTTAAATCTTGTTATTAAGAAATAATAATGAATAATAGAAAAGGTTATTTATAAATATTTGTTTCATATATTTTCTTTAATAAATCATCAATATAGAATATTTACTGTTATTATTATCATTTTTAAGAAAAGAGCGGAAAATTTAGATGAATTTTAATTCTTTAATTATATTAAAGTAAGTTAAGATAATAGATATAATGAATGATATAGTATATTATTTATTATTCTACTTTTATTTTAGATTTGATATGTATAAAGACATAGATATTTTAAGATTTTGAAATTCAATTATAAATTATTACATATGTATTTATATTAAATAATTATGGGAAATAATCTTTGTTATTAAACTGGAGAGAGATCTTCATTGTTTCCTTAATTGCTATTAAAATATGAAATGGGAAATTGTGAAATAGTATTAACTGCAGGTCCTGTTGAAAATGAAGATGTGGAATGTTTAGTGATTCCAACTGATTCTGAATACACCAATATCAAGCAGAACGATAGACCTAATTTTAAATAAGTAAATGAGAAATGTGTTTTTGTGGCTGGTAATAAAAGTATTGAATTCATAAATGCTTAAAAAAGAACGAAAAAGCTAGATTTTGGCAATCGTCATAGACAAGAATTTCTCAATTAAAAATGATGATGGAGAAAATGAAAAATAGACTATTTATGCAACTGTTTAAGAGGCTCTCAGATTGGTAAAATGATCAGATCTATTCTAAGGCCGAATAAAAGTTAATGAAATCTGTTGGATTCCCAGTATTTTAATCTAAAGATTACACTACTTCAGCTACAATCATGCTTATGGCTATAAAACTCAGTTTAACAGAACAAAAAATAAAATCACTTAAACGAATAGCAATAACACTTGATGTATCCATTATAGCATAATCATAAAAGCATATTGAATAAGTGAGCAGCTTTAAATGGGTATTTCAACAAGTGTTCAAAGGAAGTGAATAATTGAAACATTCAAGAACCTATTCAAGTTCAATTAATACACAAATAGATTCTATCGATATCATATAATCTAAAGTTAAAAGTAATACAAAGGAAGAAACTCCATGAATTAACCAAATTCATAAGTAACAAATTGATTTATATTGTTTAATAATTATTTATCAAATTCGAAACTTCTTCTTTGACCTCTAATTGATTATTAATAAAATTATTATCCTCAAAAAATATAAATCCCAAAATGTTTAACAATAATATAAAATCACAATATTATTTTAGGGATCTCTAAAATTAAGCTTTTTTTAGTTTTATTGTTCATACTTCTCCAAATATCAAAACCTATCAATACTAATAAAAGTATAATAATACATATGGTTGTCGTATTAAATATCTATAGTCCTTGTTTAATAGATGTTTCCATTTAGTTATTATACCAATTCCTATCAACAAAAATAATAAAGAATTCATTTGTTCTATTACAATTATTATGATTAAGATTTCCTCCTTCTGATAACAGAATCATATTTGGAACTGCATCAATTGAAAATAATTTGAATAAATCTTTTTCTAATTAACTAGAATTATTTTTTTCAATATCAATTAACAGCCCCTATTTTACTCTATGTTTAATTATATTAAGCTAAGCTTTCCCAAATTGGCATCACTTTTTAACAATTTAGACATGATGGCCTATAAAAAGGATAAGCCATCAATGTTTATCTTTACCTAGGAATTAAGTTAATAGCAATTACAAATGTTCAGCTATTGAACTTCAGTTTGACTGAGTGTTTTTACTTTTGAATTTCCAGAAAATGTGTGTTTTGAATATCTTAACCTATATAAAAGCAATTTCTTTAATCTAAGTATTTATTTACAATATAATTTGTAAACAACAACTTAAATTTACTTTGTTAATTGTATAAACAATATTTTTGAGATATGTTATTTTTAATTTAATATCAAATTTTTAAGTATTTTTCTGTCTAAAAAATATCCATTTCAAATTTTTATATTAATTTGTTTAAAATTTCAGTTTTTCTAATAAATATACATAATTGAATAAAATATAAAATATTATGAATTATAAAATTTCATTATATTTTTTTAAGATTCCTTAAAAATTTACAAATAATTCAATATGATTCATAACTTTATAAATATTGTATTTAATATTATTTTTTTAATTTTAATTATTAAATTGATACTATTTAATAATAATTAAAAAAAAATAAAATATAGTGATTATGTTTCAATAGATATTGCTTTTCTCAATTATCCTAAAATTTTCAGAAGCTTTAACCTGTAATGAATTAAATATGGATAAAAATGAATATTATTATTCAAATTTAAAAGAATCTCTCTTAATTAATACTGATTAAGCTGATTATACCAAAATTGATCATATAGAACTCGATTTTCTAAAATTCGAATATTCTCAGCATTATGAAATATAAGGAAAATTAATATCTGCTATTTTATTAGAATCCTTTTAACATTATGGTGAATTACAAATATGCATTCTAATTATTAATGAGAATACTTATTTTATATAATGTATAAATGGATTTACTTTTATTTAAGAGCAAACAAATTTGAAATACTCAAATAAAATTGAAATTATAACTTAACCAAATGAAGTATGTGAATCAATATTTTATGATGAATAATCATAATTTACCATATTTTGTTATTCACACGATAACTTTTAATTAATATCAATAAATTTAGATTAGGAAACTTAATATTATTAATTCTATAATTATCCTTAAGATCTTTAACTTTAATTTTGCAAACCCATTTCTATTCAAATTAAGCCTTTCAATTATTTAATAGGTTATCTAAATTGTTTAGATTGGGGTGTTTTTGAGGTATCTGATAACAATATTACTCTTATTCTAGATTAATTTATTTTAAGAACATATTAAAATAAAGTTAATCTAACCAATTTAGTGAATTTGCAAACATGTTATTTTAATCGTCTTGAAAAGTATATACTTTATGCATTATTTGACATTGGGTACATTAAATTCGAAAATTAGAAGATTTCATAATTTATCCCATTAAATTAAGAAAAAAGAATAAAAATAACTTAATTAATATTTGATAGTCACTGTGAGGTTAGTATATTTCTGGGTTAGGAAGAATCACTCATATCTTTCTAATTTTATTAGAAATACTCCACAATATCATTTAGTAAATCCATATAATCTCCCAAAGTATATTAGCATGAATAATTGAAAATATTCTAACATGAAAAAACCTTGTAAATATTCATAAATTAGAAATTGAATTATTATTATGATATTTAAGGGTTACTATTATTTTATAGAAAATTTAATTATTTGTTTGCAATAGATTCAAGTATCAATTAAATAAAGATATTTAAAATGAAACATCTATCCAGATATATTGTACCATAATATGAATATATTTATGAGTATTATTTACACGATTTGAATTATTTTGAATAAGAACCTGCTCGATGCACTAAGATTTTACTTAAAGATTCATAAATTCTCTTATAAGAATAAAAATTTGTAAAGATGGTTTATCATATTTTGTTAAATAAATTAGAACTTAAATTTATTATTAATTATAATGAATTAATGATGGGAATACCAATATATCTTGAGGTACCTACATAATACTAACATATTTTAAGTATTGATTAAAACAAAAATAATTTTTCTGATATTTGCCAATTACATAGAATATTTTCGAATTCAGTTTTTCTACTTTATGATTTTTATGCTAGTCTATATGTATTTTAAGATGAGAAATATATTTACTTCTATAACTGCACTTAATAAAAATTATCTCATCAATAATAAATATAAGGTAAGGATGTATTTATTATTGCAAATAAAATTTTGATTTTAGACAAAATATTAAATCTATTAAATATCATTATAGTCTCTAAAAATTAGATAAATTATCATAATGTAAAAATTGATTATGAAATTATATAATTATAGTTATTTTTAAATTGTGTTTATATAAATTTGAAAGAAAAAGAACCTTTAATTATTGAAATTTTTGGAAATGATCTAATTTTATACAATAATGGAATTAACAATAAAGAGATTGTATTATTTTATTATAAAGATTTTAATTTCTACTAGATATATTAATTTAAAGAGTATCTTTTTATTCAACAAAATACAGATATTTTTTAAATTAAATTTCTTGATTAAAAAATACTTACTATGAATCAAGCATTAAATTTTATTGTATTACATAACATTGAATAAACTTTAAAAGTTTATACTTTCGAAAAGAATGAGATAATATTTCTATAAAATATTGATCTCTTTGATTATTAAATTTATAATCCGTTATCATATTTATATTGTAATTCAGATTTCTACATAGTAACTGAAAAATAAAATAAATTATATCTTCTAATTTATTCTACAAAACTCTTCTAATATAAGATAAAACGAATTATTTAAATAGGTTAGCCAAATTTTTATATTGGGAATGAAATTATTTATTATTATGATGAGAATAATTTTCTAGTATATACGAATAGCTAATCAATTGTGATTTCTTATCATATTCAATAATTTAATAAACTTTTTGAGATTGTTAATCTTCATTTAAATATATTTTCCCTATTAGATTTAAAGCAATACAATATTTATCATCTGAATTTCAAGATTTTAATTTAGAACTTTTAAATTTTTCCTAAATAAAATCTATCAATTACTTTAGATTCAAACAATTCAAATAAAATCAAATTATTTAATCATTTTTCAGGACCAATTAATAAACTTTCTTTAAATGAAAAATGCAATTTTAATTTAACTGGTCCTTTGCAAATTAGATAGCGTATTGATTCATGCAATCAAAGTACCATTATGATTTGTCTTTAAAAATAAAATTTTGAAGGTTAATTTATTAGGAAATCTTAATATGTATATATGAAAATAATGTAAGAAAGTAATTAAACAAAAAAAATTAAATTGGTGCTACTTACCAATACACATAATTTATTCTAATTAAGAAATGGTGATCTATTATAAATTATTAACTTTAATGAACTAGCTTGCTAAGCAATCATTTATAAATACGATTTTATCTTGGATAAATATATATAATTTAAATAATTTAATATTTCATATATATTTAATTTAAATACTTAAATACGGATTATTAGTAATTTAATTTATCTTTCAACAAACTCTAAATTTTATTTATTGTATATAAAAGAAGGCTTTATAAAGTAAATATATGAGAGTAATTTTGATTTTGATATTGTCTATTTAGAGAATTCTGATGAAGAATATCTTGTAGTATATTCGAGAAACGATATTGTTATTGATCATTATAATATCTCATCAGGTATTGCCTCTCAAATACAAACCTATAATATAACAAAAATTAACCTATTAAAACTAGCTTTTGATGAGAGAGAATTTTATGAAAATCCAACACATATAGAAAACATGGAATTTATTCTGATTGATGCTTTAAAAACTGAAATATCAATTCAAATAAATGGTATTTTCAATTATGAAAATTTACTGTTTTATGTAACTATAACATTAAATCAATTTAATGAAAGTTTTGAATACAATGTCTTAAAAATTCTTAGAAATATGTAAAAGAAAGAGAATATAATACATGCTAACAAAAATTTTGCCACATTTGGAAATAACCCATATTATTCTATTTTTGATTTAAGATAAGAATAATAATTTTATGATCCAATTATTTAAATGAAAAATGATTTTCCTATGGTAATATAAGATTATAATAATACTCATTATATTTTATTTAATTCTTAAAAATAGGAAGCATATTTAATAGAAATTGGATATGAAATCAATATTATAAATAAAGAAGAAACTAATGAATGTGTATTAATTGCTGAAAATAATATATCAAAAGCTGAAATATAAGTATTCTATTAATAAGAAGAATTTAATATTAATATTGATTAAAAAGATATTATAATAATATCTATTATTATAATATGTATATTAATATTATTAATTATATTTATATTAAGAAGATAAAAATTAAAGAAACATAATTAAAAATTATTTTAGTCAATATCATAATTAGATTAATCAAAACTATAATGATTTTATAATAAATAATAGTTTAATTCAATTTGTTTTATTTATTTCTTGAATTTACTAAGAATTTTGCATTGTATAATCTTTAAGCAAATATATCAATTTAATCTCATTAGAAATTTAATTTATATAATAATATTATTTATTATAAAATCATTATAGTTTTGATTAATCTAATTATGATATTGACTAAAATAATTTTTAATTATGTTTCTTTAATTTTTATCTTCTTAATATAAATATAATTAATAATATTAATATACATATTATAATAATAGATATTATTATAATATCTTTTTAATCAATATTAATATTAAATTCTTCTTATTAATAGAATACTTATATTTCAGCTTTTGATATATTATTTTCAGCAATTAATACACATTCATTAGTTTCTTCTTTATTTATAATATTGATTTCATATCCAATTTCTATTAAATATGCTTCCTATTTTTAAGAATTAAATAAAATATAATGAGTATTATTATAATCTTATATTACCATAAGAAAATCATTTTTCATTTAAATAATTGGATCATAAAATTATTATTCTTATCTTAAATCAAAAAGATAAAATTTACCATTTATTTGATCCAATATTATAAGAATTTTTTCATCGAAATAATAAGGAATTGATGATTCTATAAGTTTATAATGTCTTAAAAAATGGCTAGCTTTAATTGAATAAATTTAATGTTTGCAATCTATATATAGATCTAAAATCACCCATTTATTTCTAATTTTGATTAATAATTGAGAATTAATGATTGATTTTTTTTTGTAACTATTAAGGAATCTAAAATTAAAATTTTGATTAATATCTAATTCCGAACACTCTGGAAAGTAATTTTGAATTAATTTAAAAATGTTATCAACTTGTAGATAGAAATTACAATAAATTTAGAATTATGACAACATATCTGAAACTATTCTTAAATTCAGAGTCATGCTTGCCATATTAAAGCCTTCTATTATGATAAAATCACTTGAATTTTGAATATAATTGAGTTACTCATTTTATGACAGATTTATTTAAGTAAAATTTCCATTTGAAAAATATAGATAAATTTTACCATTTGAATTTTCTACCTGAACTACATTGCCATTAATTTAAAGTAAAAGTGAATTATCAAATCGAAAACCAATATCTAAATTTGTTATAATACTTTATTATAAATCAGCTTGAATTATTTATATTTGTAGGGAAAAATTAATGATATTAAAAATAATGATGAAATTTTCAATTAAGAAATAGTTCAAAGGGAAAATTATAATATTATTTGACTAATTAGTCTAAATTATAATAATATTCGATTATAATTTAACCTTTTTGGATCCAAAATAAAATACTGGAACATTAATGTTAAAGGATGGTTTATTAGGATCTAATTAAACTTTATCATAAATTAAACAAATTTCAGAATTTTTGCTTTAAATTTTGCATTATTCAATCTAATCCTTTATTATAAATGGTCCTAACAATTTAGCATTACACTGCTTATTAAGATATAATTTATCCACAGCCCCATAAAAATAGTCAGCAAGATAAATATTTTAAGAGCTATTTGAATTATGTTTTACAAGTATTTTTGGTTATTTTTGTTTTAAGTCTTAACATTAATATATAGTTAAAATCTATAAGTATTTCTGTCCAATTTTAGAATCATCTATTTATGATATTAATTCTAAATTGATTTTATTATATTACTAAATTTCTAAATAATTTTATTAGTTTAATTAACATGATATCTTAAAAGTTTGAAGATTAATAGATGAAAAATCCCCTTATTCATCGTAGTAAAATATTTATGCCTATATAAAAAAATATTGATCTTTGCTTATTTTAATAATTTACTTCAATTTAACATCTGGGATATACTCAAATTAAAAGATCATAAGATATTTATTATTATTCCAAGATGTTAAAATACTTAAGTAATTCTGAGAGATTTAGTACTTGACAGGTTAAATTATTTTGTAGTCATACATTGTGTAACTATTTACTAGTTTTAGACTTGAAAATTATAAGCAATATTGCAATAATTTATTAGTTGAGTCTTGTATTGCAATAATTTTTAGTTCAAATCTTACTCTAACACTGACAGCCACAATCTATATATTTTGAATATAAATTTTATAGTAATTATCAAAATATTTAGCAACAAAGAAATCTTTATATTAAATAAGTAAAAGATTATAAATATAAAAAAAGTAGTAAACCTATTCATTAAAGAATAATTTTTCATCTAAGTATCTATTAGTGGGATATTGAATTTAATTTATCAATACTATCATAGGTAGAGGTTACTCATAAAGATTTCCTTTAAAAAAAATGAGAGCGTTTTCCTAATTTTAAATAGCATAATCAATTTAATCTTTGAGAGTAATATTAATAATTTAGAAAGTTGAATTATTAGAAAAACCAAAAATTTCAAGTTATTACTATTGTTAGTTTATTGCTAGAAAACTATTTCGATAATAAAGTACTGATTTATTACCGAGATCAATTTAGGAGATTGACTGATTTTATCTACAATTAAAAAAATAAATAGTATTATTCTACATAAAAACTATATTTTCATAATCTAAACCAATACTATATTATAATATTATAATGTCTTTGTTTTTAAAATTAAGATTTGTACAATTATTTAGAATTATTTCATTTTTTATTATATTGCAAACAATTCGAATTTGATTTGAAAAAATATCATTTATTTTATAAGGTAATCTTAAATTAAATTAATCTTTATTTAATAAACTAGTTCCAATATTATCACATCCAATTTCTAATTAAATCAAATTATTAACTGCAGTAGAATATGTCTATATATTATTTTCTAAATTTATTTGATAACATTATATTTCATTTTCATTACAACATTCATAAAATTCTGTTGAAATTGATAAAATGAATTACTTTTTTGGATTTTAGATCCAATTCTTAAGTGAGAATAAATAGAGAGTTAAAATTTCTTAAATTGAATCAAATTAATAAAAATAATTTTGTTAAGGTGGAAAATAAATAAACTCAGGGTTGATGTTATACTTTTCTTTTTCAAAACAATTTAAATGTACTTCTAAGAAATTTGTTTCTAATAGAAATAAAAATTAATTAAAATATTCAATTCTTGGTGTAGTTAAATTAGAATTAATTAATTTTAAATAATTAGGAGTTTACAAATAGAGTTTTTATTCATCATTAAAATTTTAAGTTAAAATGAATTTTATATTGCAATTCATATCTAATATCAATTTTTTAATCATCCCTATTTCCTCATCACTATTTTTCAATAGCTAAAAATTATCTCTAACAAATCGAAGAATAACATATTAAGTACCATCAATTAGGTATAATAATGGATAACAAATCTCTAAATTTTCTAATTCCTTTTACAATTAAAAATTAAAATTTTTTTACATACTCTCCTAATTTATAACTTCTAATTCTAAACGATTTTTTATTACCTAAATACTCCACTATTAGCATTTATATATAATATGTAAATAATGATCAAATTAAAATTATTTCATCATTCTGTTACAATAACTTTGTTAAGGAAAATATTGAAATTAAATATTTGAAAAAAAATGCTTAATTGGATTTAAAAAATATAGAATAAAGTGTGAATCTGAAAAGCAATGCAATACCATAATATTATTATTATCTCTATATAATTAATTGCATTATTCGTTAGTTTAAGTTGGCACAATAAATTTGCTTTTTTAGTAGTTAGATTTATTAAATAGTTTCAAATTTGGTAAATAAAGCCCTTAAATACATTAAATAAAATAGAATCCATCAAAATGTAAATTACAAATATCCTTTAAATATATGTCATCAACCTTATCTATTATAATAGATGATAATAAAATTCCTTCAAATTCATATTATATTTGTAAATCTACTGTTATTGATGTTTAATGATAATTTTCGCTAAATTCATAATGATTATTATCTTATTCAATTAAAATCGATTATTTAGATTAAGCTATGAATGGCTCCCCAGGCTACAAATAAACTTAGGTACACGTTAAATCAAGTCCATCCCCTATTCCAATTTCAAGTAATAAGAAATAACAGATATAAGAAATTAAACTCATTATTTCTTCAAATTTTTTAAAATTGATGATAATATTATTTATAAATAAATAGTTCACTAATTTTTAATATATTACTATAATTTCAATTTCAATAAATGTTTTAATAAGTAAATATCCCCCTAAGATTAGATATTATGAAAAGATTGAAGTATAGAAATTAGTATTGTTGAATTTCTCTTTCAACTATAAGATAATTTCTTTATAAATTCTTAGTTTCTACGTAAAGCCAAATAAGCATTAGAATAAAATATTAAAATGATTAAAATATATGTTCAATTATATGATAAAATATTTCAAATAGATAAATTGTAAAATTAATGATAATTTCATACCAATTATATGAATATATATAAATTAAATTTGTATAATCTGGCAAAATTATTTTTTTTGTTCATATTATAATTAAATATAAATAATATATTAATGTAAGAGCTTCTCGATTAGTTTCTAGAACTATTAATATAGACAGATGAAGCAAATAAGAATAAAATTAGAGCACTGACTAATAATAATGTTGATTTTCAGATACCTAATAATAAGTGGGATGAAGCTTCAGTCAAATTACTAAAGTTGCTAATTTAGACTTATTGTTTAGATCAATAAATTAGTAATCATTAAGTTCCTGATGATATTTGGAGCTTAGTATCATAAATTGTGAAGAAATCTACTATTGATTGCAAATTGTAATTTGGGACAAAGAAAAAAATCAGATTACTACAACAACAATGGTCAAAAAAAGAGGATGAAGCCTTAAAAGAAATTTGTTTTTCTTACTTAGCATAGAATAAAACCTACAAATGGAGTGATATTGCAAAAGAATTAGCTTAAAAATTAAATCATACAAATGTTAAAATGACAAAAATTGTAAGAGACCGATGGCTTAATAAATTAAATCCTAACATTCAGAAAGGTCCTTGGGAAAAGAATGAAGAATATGAATTATGTAAATAGGTGTTAAAACATGGAAAAAATTGGATGAGTATAGCATTAGAGATGAAAAATTAAAGAACAGAAAGCTCTATAAAGAATAGATATTTTAATATATTAAAAAAGCTGGAGAAGTAAGAGGTTCCCATATTAAGTAAAGCAGACATAGAAAAGGAATTAGGAAAATTATAATAAAATGAAATTGAAAAAATAGACTAATTTGGATAATAAGAGATTAGTTTTATTTTATATTAACTAAATAATTTGGAACCAAAAATAATTAAAACAAAATAAGAAATTGAGCCAGAAAAGAATGTATAAAAGAAAATAAATGTAAGTACATAAAATAATGGTTCTAAAAAACTTATAAAAGCAGCTGAAAAAGATTAAAAATTGCATGCAAACAACATTGTCAAAAAAGTTCTTTAATCTTACAACTAAGATGAAAATCTTGATTATAGTAAAATGAAAGAGCATTATTAAGATGTAATAGCATAAAAAGGTGATACTTTAGAATTAGATGAAGAACCTATAAGTGATTCTGATAATTTATCTGAAGTGTAATTTGCAGTAATGGGAAAGGATTCATAAAATTTACATCTATTTCCTAAATCATAATTAAAAGCTGTCATGGAATTGATGAAATAAAAAAAGGAATAAAAAAAAGAAGTTTAATAATCACTAAATAAAATTTAATCACTTCCACCACCTCTTCCAAAGTTAGAATAAAAATTATAATAATCTCAGTAATAATAATTTTAACAATAATAATAGAATCCATAATAGATTTCATAATAAATTTAACAAACTCCTTAACAATAAATCCCAGTTTAATTACCTATTGTATAACCAATTATGCAATCAGTTGCTATGCCAACTCCTGTGATGCCAATATAATAATAAATGTAAGGATAGTAATAATAACCTTAATAATAATAATAGTAATAGTTACAATAATAATAACAATAATAATAGCAATAATAATAACAATAGTAATAATAACAATAATAATAATAATAATAACAATAATAATATTATTAACTAGTCTATCCTTCAAATTTTATGTATCCATAAGTTTAGATGGCTTAGGTAGCTTAAATACCAATAATGTCTGGCTAAATGATGGGTTAAATTCCTGGATAAATGATAGGATAAATGCCTGGACAAATGGTTAGTTAAATTTAAGGATAGATTCCAGGATAAATGGTTGGTTAACTTTCAAATTAAATGATTGGTTAAATTCCAGGGTAAATGGGTTAAATGGTTGGCTAAATTCCAAATTAGATGGTAGGTTAGATTCCAAATTAGATGGTTGGATAAATTCCTACTTAGATGATGTCTGCAATTCCTGGATAAATGCCATAAATTATCTCCCAACTTCCACCTTAAATGATGCATCAAGTTTAAGGTTAAATTCCATAAATGGTTTAGCCTGGATAAATGGCAACAATGTAAAATGGATAAATATAAATGTCATAAATTGCTTCTATACCTTAACTTGCATAAATGCCCTTATAATAACTTCCTTTGACAGCATCCTAACCTGTAGGTATGCCACAACAATTTATTCCAATAATGTATTAATTATTTTAATTTTTATTAGATATGCCCCTTAGCCAGTATATTAATAATAATAGTAAGCTTAAGGACAATAAAATCAATAATAAAAGATCAATTAATAATAATAATAATAATAATAATAATAATAATAAGTTCCTATTATGAATTATTAAATTCCAATGATGGGTTAATACTAAGATTAGTATTTCTAGTTTATGAATATGAATCAACCAAATTAATAAAAGTAGCCAAAATATTCATAAGTTAAATAAGAGACAGAGGAACATTAATAATAACAATAATAAAATCGTAAATGAATAAAATTTTATAAATTGATTTAATTCATATCTAACCTAATTTAAAGGAACATTAATATAACATTGCTCCAACTTTTATTTTTTCTTTATCTGATATTTTCTCTTCAAGATCTGAAAAACTTTTGATTGGATTTTGATTTTTCAAGAATTCTTCAATTGACATTCCTTTTAGCATATGTTTTCCATAAAGTTGTATACTAATTTTAGATGACTTCTTAAAGGCAGTATTAAGAAAACTAAGTATATCTTCTTTTTTTAGAAGATCAATTTAATCAATGGTTATTTCTTTTTCTTCAAATATGAAATCATTATTTTAAATATGATCCCAATAAGCTAATCCTTTTTCAAATAAAGTTTTTTCTTTTTATCTCAATTATTAGATCTAAAATTATTATTTATTTATTTATTACAGCTGCTTTTTTTAATTCTTCAATGTCAAAATCTGTCATTTTTTCAATTTCTTTATAGAAAAATTAAAGAAAATCTTCAATATATTAATTTACTTAATAAGGTGTTTTAGCACTACCTTAAACTAAAATTGCTGCTCCATCAAGACATTCTAAAGGTGTAAATTTAGCAGATACTAAATATCCCAATTGTAAATCAGTTCGTAAATAATTAAATGCAGAACTATCAAAGGTTCCTTTCAAAATATTCATTATGGCAAATTGTTTTCTATTTCTATTTCCAAAAATATAATAATTAAATGTAGCTCCATTATTTTCATTAGATTCTGCTGCATATGGAATAATATAATTATTAGAAAGTTTAAGAATTTTTGAATAGATGGGATTATAATCTAAATGTTTTGGTTTTCCAAATAGCTTTTTCTCTATAGATTTAAATAGAGAAAGTGCTTCTTCTCTAAGTACATTGCCTGTTAAATAGAGTTAAAAGTTTGTTCCTTTGAATAATTAGGAATGGAATTACTCATAATCTTTAATATTTATGTTTTTTAATTCTTATAAGATTTATTTTGGTTCATAGTAACCATATATAAGGGTCTAAAAATATATATAATTGATTTTATACATTTAAGAAAAAGTGATTTCTTATTTGAGAATATAATGGACTTTATAATTCTTGGTTATATTAATTAATCAAAGTTTTAAGTGTTTGATCATAAATTTATAAATCTATTTATTGTTTAATGAAGAATGTTAATGAATCTTCAATAAAATCAAAGAATTTATCATTCCAACCATAAATATTAAATATAATATGATTAGGTGATGATTAAAATTTAAAATTATAATTATTTTAAAAAGCTGATTCTAAATGTTATGAAATTAAAGTGGAAGTATATGATTGAAATACCTTTAATAATACTTATTATTTTAAAGTGAATTGAAAATTGATTTTATCTATTTTCATACCCATAAAGATGGCTGGTGTTTTATAAGATCTATCTAATTTCCACCATAATTTTCCAATTGATGATTTAAATAAATATTCAGGAAGTGGATATAATTCTTCATATTAGTGTTCATATTGTAAACATTCCTTATTAGATTAAAAACAATTATTACTTAAACATTTGAAAAGACCATTTCTGAATTTCTTTAAATAAGCATATTCTCATTTTATAAATCTTCATAAGGATCTTCTTAATTAGTTTATGAATAAGGTTTGCAAAATGATTTCATTTTCAAATCATTTGGTTAATATTTATGAATAGATGGTAATTAGAATTTAGGTTATTCAATTTCATCATATGTTTATATTTTTTATATAATTGTATCTGGAATATCTAAAAAGACATAATTAATTCTATTAACTTTATCATATTAAACATCAGGATGATTTAATTAGGAATCTCCTAAAAATACATTTAAATTATCAATATCTAATAGATCAGTAAGATAAAAATATATTAATTCAGGATCATAATCTTCATACAAATATTTTCTAGATAAAACATCATGAAATCCATATATATTTAAATTATGAGCTATCTCTTAAATATCTTCAATAATATTTTCTTTAAAATTGAATTTCAGAGATGCTGTTTTTTTATAATCATCATATAATGATCTTAATTTATCATTATCAACTAAAGTATCTCCTTAATCATCAAATAAAGTCTGTATAAGATAGAAATAATATGAAAAGACAGATTATATAATCTAATCATAGTCATTGAGATTGTAAACTTAAAATTCTAAAGCAAATACATTAAAACAACCATTATGATCATTGAATAAAACACCACTTGACATATCTATAATTAGATTTTTTTATATTAGATATTCTTTAACACCTTTGCTAGATTAGATTAAATTATTAATTAATTCTATAGCTTTTGTTTTGTATTATTATTGAACATCAGACAATTAATGAGTCATGTAAACTCTCTTTACATCTGAATTTGATTTATATTAAATTAATTATGTTCCATATTAGATTGGAGATCCAAAATCTTCACATGATGGTTCCACTAAATTATTATTTTTAATCTTTTCAAAACTCTTTAAATATGTTTTAAGTTCAGTTATTGGTAAACTACTTTCTATAACTAATGACATTAAATTAGATGAATAGGCTTAATTAAAAAATTGTTTCAACTATTCTGATACTATCAAATTTATATTTATGATAAATTACTTTCATCTTTTAATAAAGTATTTAAATTTCCAATTGAAAACTGACTAAATGGATGTGATTTCTCTGATAATATCTATAATAAAGCTTCAATTTTCCATTCATCAGTATCAGTAATGATTTCATATTCATTATTCACTGCATTTACTTCCTTTTCTACCATCTTTTAATCCAAGATTGGATCTATGAAGAAGTGACTAAACACATCTAAACCTTAATGTAAAGCACTATTTTATATTGTAAAGTAATAATTAGTTTCATAATTGTCTGTGTAAGCATTATTTGTTCCTCCATTGTTGTAAATTAAAGTATTAAAATAATTAGGATCTGGATATGTATGAGATCCAACAAATAACATATGCTCTAATAAATGAGCTAAACCACCATAATTTGCTGGTTCTTAAAAGGATCCTGCTTTTACACTTAATGCCACTTATGAAATAATTGCATCGTTATTCTAAATTAATAAAACTGAAAGTCCATTTTCTAAAGTGATATATTCATAAACATTATTGTCAATCATGGGTTTTTTAATTTACTGTTTCTATAGAAATTATGTTTGATCATGTTATGTAAGCTTTTACTATTATATCATCATAGTAAGCATAAAGGCAATTAAACAGAATACAATAATGAGCATTATTGTGTTAAATATTGGTGATACTATTTTCCTGTATCCTTTTGCATTATTTAATTTAATTTTCGACTCGACTAATCCTTAGGTTTCTTCTTCCATTAAAAACGATAATATTAATTTGTGATATTTAATAAATAAATTTAAAAAAACAAAACAATTAACAAAATGCTCTACGCAACAAATAGCATGTATTACAGATAATTCCTCACAACCACAGGAAAGTAATGAAAATATTTATATTCAAATTAGGAAATCAAAAGCACAATATCAACCATAGCATTAACAAACAATTGCAAAGGGATAAAACTCTGAGCATCCAGCTGCTTAAAGTGCATGATTTATATATTCAAAATATATTACACATATCTTAAATGCGAATTATTTAATTGAGTTGTTCTTTTTATTTGTCTAAAATATTTTCTAGTATTTTCTCCACAAATTAGATTATAATAAATTTATTGATTAAAGTTAGAGCCATCAAATAGCCTATTTATAAATTATACAAAATAAAACTAGAATTTGATAAAATTCCATGATTATCAATTAATATTTACATACTTAATTTGAGTCTAAAGACTAAGTTATTATGAATTTAAATAATATAAATAATTGTACACTTGAAATGAAATGTTAAGATAACAAACCAGCTTCATAATCTTATTAATTTCTTGATAAATTAGGCGAAGGGTATACATAATCTTAAAAAACTTAAGTTCTTTTGGATATATTTGGAAAGTCAAGCAAATCTCCACTGGCTAGATATTTGCATGTAAATTAGTAAAAAATACAATGAAAAAAGAGAGAACACTTCTTTAAAGAGAAATAAAGATTTTGTAATTGTTAAAAGGAAAAAAGGGTAATGTTTCATCTGCTAACTGAAGGATTTACCCAATTAATCACATCTGGCTAGGATCACAGGAACACTTATTTTATTATGAATTTACTAGGAGAAAACTTAGAATAGGTAAGAATCAAATGTGGTAATTTTGATACTACTACCATTTTAAATACAGGGTAGTAGATGATTCAATTACTTAAAGACTTACATCATTCAAATATTATTCATAGAGACATTAAACCTGAGAACTTTGTAGTCTTTTAAGATAAACTACATTTGATTGATTTTGGATTATCCAAATAATATATTTAAGATGGTAAACATATAGAATTCAGAGAGAACAAAGGTATGATAGGAACTGCAAGATACGCATCCATTAATAGTTTAAAAGGCAATGAATAATCTAGAAGAGATGATTTGGAATCAGTAGGTTACTTATTAATTTACTTATATATGGGTACACTACCATGGAACAATATTGTTGCTGATGATAAGACTGTCAAGTATTATAAAATACAAAGAATGAAGGAAGCATTTAGACCAGAATCATATATTAATCTCCCTCCAGAACTATCTAAATATCTTGAATATGTTAGAAGACTTAAATTTGATCAATAACCTGATTATGATTATTTATTCAAATTATTTAGGAGAGGAGAAGATTTAACTGGAACACCAAAATTACAAATCTAATAAAACCATATGTCAATCAAAACTAATTTAGTACATTTAAAAAACATTGATAGAACTTAATGTTTGACTACTCGTAAATTATTTAATCAGGTTGAAAATACTAGTAGAAGAATAACTTTTGAAGATCTGAGTTCAGCTGGGGCAGACATAATGGAAGAATTGGATAATAATGAAAGAATTTAATTAAAAAATTTATAAGTAGGCATAAAATAACCAAATACTTTAAATAAAATAAACAAGATTAGAATGGGATCAGATTAAATATTTGAAATAGAAAATAAACTACAATACTAGGTACCTTTTTCATTAAAATAACTATAATGAAGAAATTGATTATTATTGATTATAATATAAAAGTTAAATTATTTTACACTCATTTATTAAATAATCTAATTATATTCAAAAAACTAAATGTAATAAAAATATTTATAGATAAATAGTAAAATTATAGAACTCCATTTATATTATAATAGAATTTATATGACTTTATTTTTTTATTAATTTCTATATATATCACAGATTTTATTAGATTAAAGATGAGGAAAATAAGTTATGTTAAATCAAATGGAGTACTACTTTTTATAAATAAAAATTAACAGATTAAAATAAATTTAGAGAATCTAAAATATTAATATTGGTTTATTAATACGAATAACAATCTTAATAAATGCTTCATATTTACTTATGATAATGATTTATAATAAATTTAGATTGAGTCTTTAAAAATAAATTTATAAGTTGATAATATATGTACATTGTGTATTTATTAATTTTAATTAATTCTCAAAAAAAGTACTACTTAATAGAAAATGTCAACAACATTGTTAAATAGAAGAATGAATCAATTATTAAATTCCATATAAGTAAAATAAGAAGAATGCATAAGATAAAATATAATTGATTTGTATAATAATATACAAGATCCTGAATTTGATCAATACTTATTTTAGTTATGGTAGTTACTCTTACATTAGGTTTAGTTTTCTCTTCTATGTTACAGATCATAAGTAGATAAAGGAATTACTTTATAATTATGCATTTATAGATAATTCACATTTCTTTAGATTAGAGTGGATGTTAAAAGCTTTGAATGAGAATTCTAAGAATGAAAAAGTCAAGAATGGCTTTACTACATTTTTGAATGTAATTATATAGAAATATTTTGAATTTAGTAATTATGTTTAGAGTTCGCTTAAATAAATTAAATAGTGGAATCAAAAGAAGGTAAAATTAAATTGAAAATTTTAGGCAAATTCATTAAAGGTTGCCGATATAGTTATAAAGAAAAATAGGATCTAATAATCTTTAATTTGATAGAACAAAGTTTGAGATTGAAAAAAATTGATATAGAAAAGCAAAAAAATCATATGAAGATATTTTTAGCATCAATAAATTAAATGATTACAAGTTTAAGATTTTAAGAATAACCTGAATTTAGAGGAATAACAATACCATTTAATTATGGCAATACAGATTCATTTTTAATAGTAAATTTACTAGAAGATGAGTTTACTTGTTTCAATACAGCAAAAAGAGTTCCTTATAAGATTATAATAGAAACAGTAAAGTAAATTTAAATAAAATTAACAATTAGTCCTTCTGAATTATAATTGATATAGAGTATTAATGAATTATTTTAAAGTAACTTACCAGAATTAACTCCTTTATATGATATAGAAAAAGAAATGAAAACTATTTCATAAATAAAAATATATTAATAATATAATATAGAGGAATTAAAGAAGTATAAAATTTGATAAATATTTTAGATTGGCCTTAAAGAAAATAGATTTTTAAAGAATATAATATTTGTAAAAGTAAAGTAAGTTTAAAGAAAAAGATATATATGTATCTAGATCATCAAATAATTCAATTTGGGGAGAAGATTGGGATATTACAAAATAAAAAATAAAATAAATTTCATAATATGGAAATTTGAAATCTCATGATGTTAGATAAATTATAATAAAAGGAGGTGATGATCTTAGAAGTGAACTATTGATAATGTAAATGATGAGAAAAATCAATTAAATATTTACATAAAAGTAATTAAATCTTTACCTTCGACCTTATGATATAATTCTAACCTCTGCAAATAGTGGTATTTTAGAATTTATACCAAATACTGTTTCTTTGGATAAGATCAAAAGAGAATATGAAGGTATCTCATTGAGAAAATTTTATTAAATGAATTTTTAAGACTTTCAAGCAGCTCAAAAGAACTTTGCTGAAAGTTTAGCAGCATATTCATTAATATGCTATTTATTCTAATTAAAAGATAGACATAATGGGAATATCTTAATTGATAATAAAGGCCATATAATTCACATAGACTTTGGATTTGTATTGACTTTGACTCCAGGTAATATTGGATTTGAATCAGCTCCATTTAAATTAATATATGAATATGAGGAATTATTAAATGGTAAAGATAGTGATATGTTTACATATTATAAAATTCTAATATTTTCAGGTAATCATAATTATTATATTTAGGTATTGCAATATTGTAAGAAAACATTACAGAATTATTAACTTTTGTTAAATTAATTAATTTCAGTCCAAAACATAATCTTTTGGCTTGTTTAGAGAATTTTAATATTAATGAATTCAAGAAAAGATTTCATGAAAATGTTGGATAAAAGAATCTATATGAAATTGTGGAGAATTTGGTTAAATAATCAAATAATTCATTAAAGACATTGTTATATGATTATTTTTAATACTAAACCAATACTATTTATTATTGACACCATATTATTTTAAAATGAAATAACCATCCTATAGATGTACAGAAAAACTGTGGAAACCAATAGTAAGACCACCAAGACATAATTATAGACTCAAAGATATGGGAAATGAGATATTCATGGTTTCAGATACTGTTACTAAACGATTTGACTTTGAAATTTAAAACTCTAGAAGATTGATTTTGTAATGCAGGTATTTTAACCATATTATTTTAAGTTTATTTGAACCAATAAGAATGTAAGACAAACCACATCCATGTATGATTTATTTACATGGGAACTCAAGCAGTAGAGTGGAAGCCTTAACTATTATTGAATACTTAATTCCTTAGAATATATCTGTATGTGGAATCGATTTGTCTGGTATCTATCTTAATAATTATTCATAGGTTCTGGATAATCTTAAGGTGAATATATTTCTTTAGGATATTATGAATCAAGAGATGTTATAGACCTCTATGAATATTTAAGAGACAAAAAAGTAAGTAAGCCTCATAATTATAAGTCTAACAGCCTTTTATTACTTAAATTGGATTGTGGGGTAGATCTATGGGTTCAGTGACTGCTATCCTTGCAGCTAATCTCAATAACAATTTCAAAGTTTTAGTGTGTGATAGTCCTTTCTCTAATTTAACTCATCTCTGTTAAGAATTAGCATCAAATAATTATAACATACCTAATTGTTGTTTTAATTGTTTCTGGTGTATCATTAAAGCCAAAATAAGAAGAGAGGCCAAATTTAATATTGATGATCTCAATATCTCTTAACTCATTCAAAGTAAGATCAAATTCATAATTTTTAGCTTTGCCTACAGATGTTTCTATTGTATTCTTATCAGCCAAGTAGGACTAATTGATAGTTGAAAAACATCCTAAAATTCTTATGGAAAAATTTAGAGGAAATAAATTACTGAAATAATTTGAAGGAACTCATAATTCTAAAAGGCCTTTGAATGTTATGAAAGAAACTGTCTAATTTGTTATTATGTAATTTGATAAATATTCTTGGAATTAAAACTAAGGCTTAAGAGATAATAATAAAATATTTAATAACTAAAAAGATTAAATTCCAATTCCTGATGTTGATGCTCCCTTATTGTAACCAGAAAAACCTTATATATCCAAATCTGAGAGATGAAGGATAATTTAATAATAAGTGATTAAATCTATATTTACAATTATAATATCTGTTATTTTAGTATTAATTTTTATATCAATTATAAATTTATATTCAACTATTAGTTCTTTTATGTTATTATATCATACTTTATATATCATCTAGTACTCTAATCTTACTCTATTACACTTATTTTTAATGTACAATAAAGTCTTTTGTCTTTAAAGCTTCTCTTTCCTCTTAAAGTCTTTCATTTTCAATCAATTTCATCTTTTCCTCTAACTATTATTATAAGGAAATACTTACATATCTTTATTCATTTAATAAAGTCTTATGATTTTATTTTGTTTTTAGATATTTATTTTTATAGATTTCTAATTATTCTTCATCTACAATAGATTATTTTTTCATTTCCTATATAATTCTTTTTGATTCTGCCAATTCATCCTATGAATAATTTAATTGAATTTGCAATGATTCTACTTTCTTTTCTATTTGTAATTGTTTCTATTTAAATATTCATCTATTATTATACTTCGTAATGCTATTAATTTAAATAAGATATATCATTATCTGATTCATACAATAATTATTATAATCTTCTATTATCTTAATTCAATTAATCCATATCTTGTAAAATCTATGCTTTATCTTCTTTATCTAACTGATACTATTTATCATACTAAGCCAATTTATCTTCATATGATTAAACTAAAGATTTTTATGATTCTAATTTGGACTTCAATTCTTTTACTTCCTATACTTAATAATTAGCTTCTTTTAATGCTAAATCAGTTTTATTTCTTTGATCATCTAAATGAGCTTATAATTTAATATTTTCTTATTATTTTTCTAAAATGGAATTATTTAATGTAAATTCTTATTTCTATTATTAACTAATCAAATTTTCCAATTATTAAATTTAATTAGCCATATTTTTTATCTTCTCTTTTTTCTTATTAATTTATGTATTAAATTCTTGCTATTATAATAATTTATCTTATTAATATTTATTTAGATCCTATTAATGGTGTGTTTCATTAATTTTAATTAATTTTTCTAAGTCTTCAGTTTTAGTAGTTAAATTATTAATAGTTAATGATAACTTTTTATTTTCTTCAAATTACTCTTTTATTTTTTATTCTAATAATTATATAGTTTATTTATCATCCTTTATTCCCATTTCAAGATATCGACATTATTCTTCTTTTGCAACAATAGCCTATTTTAAAACATTATTTTCATCTTTTAATATTTAATATCGTTTTTCATGATCCTTGCTTAATTTATTTAAATAGAATTCTTACTTCTCATTTGTTAATGTATCATAAAGTCTTTGTACTCTATCCAATTCAACTTAGAATTAATTCTTTTATTCTTCCAATTTTATTTCATTAGCTTTATATTCATCCTTTATTAACTTTATTTTAGATTTTTTCTTCTATAACTTAATTTTTATATCGTTTAATTATGTTTTCAAATCTTCATTACCTTTTGTTTACCAATCTGATCGTTCTCTCTCATATTTTTATATCAATTCCTCTTTTAACTGTAATATTTTCTCCTAATCTTTACCTTCCTACATGTAATCTCTCAAAGCTGCCTATACTTTTGATAAATAGTTTATACTTTTAATTTTGAATTGAGATCCTTTAATTTATTATATTTATCTCTTGAGACATAACCAGTCATCTCATTCCAAGCATTAGGAGAATTGGATACAAGTGGATCAATAGCTTATCTTACTTGATTTTATCGATTAAGTAAATCATTACTAGAACCTTAATTTGTTCTCATTATTTAAATATTAATTTTTTATAACAGCCACATTAATCAAATGAAATAGATTATGCAAATTTAAAATTTTATCAATGAAGAGTTTTTGAAAGTTGAAATAATGTTAATAATTAATTCTTTTACCAAAATGAGTAGTAATAATCTAAGAAAAGGATTAATAAATGATAGCTTTGAAGATTTGGGGAGTTTTATCTAAACCATAATACCAGAAGAGAAGAAAACAGAAAGAGAAAAAGCAGGATTCTTTGGCAAATTATTTGTTTCCTGGATCTATCCTACATTGTAAGATTTTGTGGTTAATTTTAGAAAATTAGCTTAAAAACAGCCTTTAGAGATTGAATCTATACAACCTCTTTCAAAGACAGAGAAATCCTAATATCTCTACGAGAAATTCAAAAATTAATTGATCCTTACTAAAAGAGGTGATAATACTTTATTTATGGCTTTATATCATACTTTTTAAAAGCAAATCATAATTACATTAATTTCGTTAATAATTTCAGTCTGTACTTCTGTTGTTATTCCAATAATGATCAAGAATATTATTGATTACATTACAAGGTAAGAAGAAGATTATTTTTATGCTTCAACAATCATTACAATTATAATGATATCAAGAGCTATTAATATGATATCAAATGCTTAAGCTAGACTAGAGATTGTATTTAAATCTAATATTTTAAGAAATCCTTTGGTTTTGATGCTTAATCTGTACTTTCGGTTGAATTATTAAGTAAAAGTTTACGAACTTCTTTCTTAAGTAATTCTAGATACACACCTGGTGAAGTTATAAATTTAATGTAAGTAGATGCAGGAAAACTACAATTTGTAACATATTATTTAGGTGTTGGATTGTTGGTACCAATTTAGTTGATAGTCACTATATATTTGATGTTTGTTTATATTGGAATATCATTTCTTGGAGGATTTGGAATAATGTTATTGGCAGCTATTTGGAATACATTGATAGGAAAATTCTTAATGAAATATTAATAAACAATGATGACAGAAAAAGATAAAAGAACAAATTGTGCAAATTAAATATTTTCATAGATTAAATTTATTAAAATAAATGCATTTGAAGAATTCTTTAGAGAAAAATTATTTAAATTGAGGTAGGCTGAGATTGATATAACAAGAAAACGGTATTTTGGAACAGCCTTTTATGTATTTTCAGTTTGGTTAAGTCCGTTATTAATATTATGTGGAACATTCCTTATGCATATATTATTAGGTCATCAATTAAGTGCTGGGAGTACATTTGCAATAATAAGTTTATTTTAAATGTTATAATAACCTTTGTTGTAATTACCAATAGCAATCAATGAAGTGATGGCTACAAACATTAGTTTATAAAGAATATAGAAATTTTTATTTACTGATGAATTATAATCTGATTGCATATAATTTGACTATTATGGACATGAAAAATCATTAATAATAAGAAATGGTAATTTCTATTGGTCAGCACTTAAGAAGGAGGAAATTGATGAAAAAGAGAAGAAGGAACAAGAAATCAAAAAGGATAAGAAGAAACAAAAGAACTATAAAATTTTTTAAGTAGAAGAGTAAAATCAGAAGGAAAATGAATATAAGTAAGTCTTATTTAATATTAATATTGATATAAAATAAAAGAAGATGGTGGGTATAATAGGAGATGTGGGATCAGGTAAAACATCAATCTTATAGGCAATAATAGGGGAAATGTTATATAATCCTGAGAATCCTCCTAAAGTTACTATTGCAGGATCATTGGCATATGTGGGACAGAAATATTGGATATAAAATTTAACTGTAAAAGAAAACATATTATTTGGATAAGAGTATTAAGAATAGAAATATTAGAATGCCCTAAAATATTCTTGTTTATAGTAGGATTTGAAGATATTAATAAAAGGAGATGAAACAATGATTGGAGAAAAAGGAATCAACTTATCTGGTGGTTAAAAAGCTAGGATAAGTTTGGCTAGGGCTATATATAGTGATGCTGAGATAATATTATTGGATGATCCAATCAGTGCAGTTGATGCTCATGTAGGTAACTTTATTATGAATGAATGTTTAAATGGATATTTGAAAGATAAAACAAGGATTCTTATTACTCATGCTTTAAATAGTTTATAGTATGTAGATTATGTGTATCTAGTTGAAAATGGAACAATAATTGAATAGGGTACATTCCAAGAAATATAATAATCATCCAGTTTTAATTCGATATTTTAAAAGTTATACAAATATCAAAATAATGATGAGGAGACAATTGAGTAGAAAGTGGAAGAACTTCCTTAATTAGCTAAATAGGCATCTTAGAAGGAAGAGAACAAGAACGATTATAATAATGAATTGATATTGGATGAAGATAGAGAAAGGGGGAATTTGGCATTAGAAACTTATAAGTAATATTTTAAATTAACTGGGTATTTTAATATATGTTTGTTGTTTATTATATAAATTTGTTGGATAGTATGCTATTTTGGTACTTCCATTTTGATAGCTCTTTGGACATCCCATGCTGATGAAGATGAGGATATAGATAATTATAAATATTTAGAGGTCTATTTCTATTTTTCTTTGGGACAAGGAATATTTGCATTTCTAAGACCTTTTTTATTAGTATCTGCAGGGATTAGAACATCTGATAAAATTCATACAAAAATGATAAAGTAAATATTAAATATTAAATAATAGTTGTTTATTATATGCACCTTAATGTTCATTTTTTGAAAGAGTGCCTTTGGGTAGAATATTGAATAGATTAACTAAGGATTAAAATTCATTAGATAGTGAAGTATATTGGGGATTGAGTTGGTTTTTTGTTTCTATAAGTTTATTGGTAGCAAACTTAACTATTTATGTATATTCAAGTACTGCTTATATGTTGATCCCTTTATTTTTCTACTTTTGTTTATGTTGGTGGATTTAATAGTTATATGTTACAGCAAGTAGAGAATTACAAAGATTAGAATCTATTTCTAAAAGTCCTATAGTGAGTTTCTTTGGTGAATGTATAAATGGATAAAGTTATGTGAGAGTATTCAAAAAAGAAAGTATATTTATATAAAAGCATTGTGATAATATGGATGTAAATCGAAGAGTGTTTTTAGAATTAATAGGATCTTAGACATGGTTTATGTTAGTTTTAGGATTGATGAGTTTAATTGTTAATGCAATGGCAATAGTTTATTGTGTATTTTATTCTTTTTCTAATCCATCATTGGCAGGATTATTATTAACATATGCAACTTAAATAGATAGTAATGTTTCAGAATGTGTTCAATCATTTAGTTTATTGTAATTGGGATTGGTTTCATTTGAAAGATGTTTGGCATTCACAAAAATAGAACCTGAATCAGGATATAAAGAATTAGTTAATAATCATTTAGTAGAAGTATCTCATTAAGAGACTTATTTAGATCATTGGCCAAAAGAAGGCAGAATAGATTATATTAATTATTCAGTCAGATATAGAGAAGGATTGAAGCCTGCATTGAAGAATCTAAATATTACGATTGATCCTTAAGACAAGATTGGAGTTGTAGGTAGAACTGGAGCAGGTAAATCTACATTGACACTAACTCTTCTGAGAATTCTAGAGGCTCTAGATGGAAAAATCATTATTGATGATGTAGCTATATCAACTATTTCATTAAAATAACTTAGAGAACATATTACAATGATTATGTAAGATTCAACAATCTTTGATGGAACTTTAAGAGAGAACATTGATCCTTTAAATTAAAGAACAAATGAAGAAATAATTAAAGTTTTGGAATAATGTTGTTTGAAGGAATTGACATAGTAGAGGAATGGATTAAATACTTAGATTAGTGAAGGAGGTGATAATTTGAGTTCTGGAGAAAAGTAATTAATATGCATAGCAAGAGCAGTTTTGAAAAAAAGTAAGGTTGTTTTAATAGATGAAGCAACTGCTAATATAGATGTTGAGACTGAACATAAGATTTAAGAAACTATCTTGAATGCATTTCGTGATTGCACTGTTATCACAATTGCTCACAGAATAAATACTATTTTGCATTGTGATAAGTAATTATTTATTATAAAAATTATAGAATAATTGTTGTTGATTAAGGGGAAATCAAAGAGTATGGTAAGACTAAAGATTTATTGTTATTAAAGGATTCCATTTTCTATGGAATTTATTAAGAAGCATTGAAACATAATAAAAAATGAAATAGATTAATATAAATAATTATTAGTATATTTTCAATTAAAATTCTATACATCCATTGATGGTTCTTGGAAAGTCTTAATTTATATAAAATGACCTTCAGTTCTTCTTTCTATTGATGGAATTTCCACAGTACAATGAGAAAAATACTGAAATTCTTCTGGATAGCATAATTCTAATGTTTTTTTTGTAGATTCTGATACTTATACTTTTCCTCTATCACCCTTTGATTCCATTTTATTAGCTATTAACACATCTGGTCCATAAATATCATATCTTACAATATCAGTTCCAAGTACTCCTCCAATAATTTTACCAGTATGTATACCTATCCTCATATCTAAATCTGAATTATTTATTTTATCTCTAACCTTACTGATAATATTTATCATTTCAAATCCCATTTCTACTGTATTTTTAGCTTCCAATGCTGGATTTCTATCTTTAGCATCAACCATTCCCATAACAACATAACAATCTCCAATAGTATATAATTTGTATACATTTTTCTCTTGACAACATTTATCAAATTCAGTGAATAGATTTCTCAACATAAATACAACTTATTCAGGTGCTACTTTACTTGAATATTCAGTAAATCCAGCTATGTCAGCAAATAAAAGTGTAACATCTTCATGTTAATCCTTCAAGACTGCTCTAGATTATTGCAATTATAAAAATTAATCAAGCATATGAGTTGGTAATTAATGTTTTACTAATTGATCTAATTATTCATGTTTTGATTTCAATTTGCATTTTAAATTATATGCTTCAACATTCTTTAAGAATTTATAAATTTAATTAGATACAAATATAACTTAGAGTAGACTAGCATAATAAATTAAGGATTTATCCCAATCATTAACAACAACTGCAATAATATTCATACAAATCATGACAATGCTTTCAACAACCTTATATTTCATTTTGATTATTGGATTTAATTGAGTCAAAAAAGATAGAAAGATACCTATGGCTATACACACTTCTCCTATTATACCTTCTTTTACACTAAAAATGTGCATAATCCACCAGATTAAAATAAATATGTAGAATCCTATAAAGTATTTCTATTTGAAAAAATGATTACAATATTGTTCATTGAACAATAAACATATGAATATCAATTTAACAAAGACAATCAGATATCCTTACACAATATTTATATACCAAACTATTATTTCTCTAAAAATATTGTCTATTAAAATAGTAGAGGTATTTTGAATCAAGATTAATATACCCATCCCAAGTTCTAATAGAATAACTAGTATTTTATTTTACTTTCTCAATTACTAATAAAATTCCTATATAACCTCATCATCAACATCTGAATGAAAATCTAGATACAATCTCCTTTTGTCTAAGATCAACACATCCATCTCTTTAAATTCATCTTCAGTTTAATGGATTTGTTTTAATTTATCTTTATCTACTTCAATCAAAGGAAACTCTAAAGGATCTTCAAATAAAAGATTCTCTCTAGCTAATTTGATTTCAAGTGCTTCTATTAAATTCTAACCTGTAATTGTTAGAGGTTATTGTTCCTTCATAGGAGGCTGTTATTAATCACTCTCACCTCTAGAATGATGTTATGACACATTATTATTGTTATTGCTATTATTTAAGACAACATTTGGATTATCTAAATTAATACTTGATTTATGCATCATTTATGATGTAGTTATCTTAATATTAGATTGAACAATTGTAGGTTTACGTGAATTCTTGAATTCAAATATAGATTTTCTTTATTTACCTGCATAATCATCTCTATTTAGAAATATCTACATATCATCTTTGAATTTTCTCAATTTCTTTCTTGATATCTTCTCTTTCATTACTTCCTATACCAAATATGTAGTTAATTAACCTTTTCCTTTAGCCTCCACTATATCCAAAGTAAATGTAAAATCAGTACAAGATGAAACTTATTTGAATGCCTCTTCAGATATCTTTATTTGATTATCTTATGCAGTTGAACAAACTCTACTAGTAGTATTTACAGTATCACCAATCAAAGAAAACTAGGGTTTATGATACCCAATAACACCAGCAATCACATTTCCATAATGCACTCCAATCTTCACTACAATATTTTCCGTCTAACCAAAACTCTATGACAAAGCAAACTTCTACATTTCAAATGCTACTTAGAGAGCTCTTAAAACTGGGTTAATATTATTTTAAGAGATTAAATTCTTTAACCCAGAAGCTGCCATGTAAGTCTTACCAACAGTTTCAATCTTCTACAGATTGTATTAATTACATAAAGAATCATATTATCTGAATAGAATATCTAGTAAGTGAACTACATTCTATTATTAAACCTTTATTATAGTATCAAATTGACAAATATCACAAAATAGAATTGCCACTTCACCTTGATTCTCCTATATATCAAATTCTCCCTTCTAATTTATCATATTCCTGATAAACTTTGGCATCAATATTGAGAGAGTATCACTTATTGAATTGATTTTCTAATTCAACTACAAATTTTAAATGAATTCCTGTCTTAAATTTCTTTGCACTCTCAAATGCATCCCACTACTTAATGCTGTTTACATAAATGCTATGAGATAATAGTTGAGCATGATGTATGTATTTATATTCTAATTAATTGATGTATTGTTAGCACTGAATCTGATGATGAAACTTATATTGACTATGATACAATAAAATATTATAGTCAATGGTCTATCATCTATTAATGGTTATAACATAAACAACTGCATAATGAGCATATCACTTAATGAATTGTCATTTTATTAAAAGAAATAAATATCATACACAATCTTGTATAAAAGACGAGATAAAATCAAAATTTTAGATAATCTAAAATGATATTTCTTAAACACTGATGTATATATAAATAGAGCCATCAATATTTAAGTTCCATTGTAACCATATGAAAAATAAAGTAACCAAGTATAATTATGGTCCTTGTTTACAAACCAAATTTGAAGCAATATTGCACCTTCAACTAACATCCAACTTAAAGGATAATAAAACCTATAATATTCTAAAATTGATGTTAACTCATTCAATTAATATTTTGTTTCTAATTAAATATTCTTAAATTATTGAGTAAGTTAATTGATTTTTATACTCTTTTCACTCAAAGCCATACCAGACAACATTGATCTTATAGAAGAATCCATATCATCTTCATTTTTAAACAATTTTAATGCATATTTTTATATATTCAATAGAAGTGTGCTATTGTTCCTTTTTTTTGAATAATAAATCTCTATTGGCTTCAATAGACTGCTAATTTAAATCTTGTCTTTAACTGAAAACATTAATTTATCTATTGTATAAGGAATAAATTAAAAAAGTAATTGCTAAATTGTATAAACTATTAGAATTATGAGTATGATATAAAATACACTTTGAATATTGATTATGTGTTCCATAATTTGATAGTATGTTTCATTGAATATTTGAATATAACTTAATAAACTCAATAAATAGAGTATTATTAATAATATCCACCAATAAACAATACTATCATAAATCCATTTACTCTATTCAACTATAATGATTATTGTATACATTTATAAAGATAAAATAGCATTATCAAAATCTTTACCATCATTTGTATAGAATTCAATGTACTTTTAAATTATTATTATAATAAAGGATTCAAAAATTGAAAACAATAAGACTTTGTAAATGAACAACCAATATCTGTGCTTTCTAAATTAAATCCAATTCTGATTATAAAAGTAAACTAGTTATTATTTAAAATCAATAATGTTTCTATTATTAAGAATCGATTATTTATATAACAATAAACAAGGCAATATAAACATGATAGATTAGAAATATGACAGAGGAGGATTTTCATTATCCACATCCAGAATATGCTGAAAAAATATGCAAAACATTATCAAATAGCATCTATAAAATGCATATATCATTAAATTTTCTAGAAATTCTGCATGCTTTCTACTATCATAAAATAATAAAGTAATGAGATTATTCATATCTTTAATAATGAGATCTGCTGTACTCATATGTCTTACTTTAGGATATATATATTTTTCTATTTGTTTATTAGAATAGCTTTATCTAAAATGTTTATATTATTTTGATAATTTATTTTAATTCTATGCATTATTTGTATTAGGTTCCTTTTTTATTCTCTCAATTTATTCCATTTTATCTATTCTGATTTTTTAACTAATTCTCTCATTCTAAATTTATATTGAAAAGTCTGAATTTTCCATGATAATTGAATCATTGGCTTCATCACCAACTACTAATATTCTTCTTCTTTATAATTATTTTTTCTATAATATCTTAATTAAAACACCTTTCTAATATTTATTCATAGAATATCCAATAAGGTGAGTACAAAATGAGACTAAAAATGCCAAATGATGATATAAATTTTCATCATTTTCAATTATCTCCAAAGCCTTCCCTTCAATCATAATACAGAATGGCTTAGTTTTTGATAAGTTATTATTCATTCCAGTTAAAACACCTCTTGTACTTGCTCTTCTAGCAACATTTATTGATTTTCTTTTATTATTAGGACTACTGAGTTTTTCATTATTTTTTTTATCATTTTATTCTTCTCTTAATTATTTAATCAGATTATTATAACACCATAAAATGTGTGACTTGATTTATTAAGATATCATATCATTTGATTCTATTTTTAGAATTTGAATATTTTCCTTTAAAATATTAGATTTATAGGCTATTGGTAATACCTTGTTTTTAGTATCACCACTTGCAATCCATATAGATATATCTGCATTATGATAATAGTTTAAAATATCTTTTAATTATTTCTTTAATTTTTCTTACACTCCAACAATTAAAATCACTTCTAATTGATTAGATTTATTTTTAATTTCTTCTTGTGGATTCTTCTAAAATAAATTATAATTATATTAATCCATATTATATTTATAATAGATAATTGGCCTACAACCTCTCTATATAATTTTATTAATTATTCCATTCCAAACATCTTTGTCCTCCTTAT